AATAATAAATTTTTTTTTTTTTTCAAGATAATGAAATCTAATCAATCTTATCGAGGGTAGGGTAGGTTTATATTTTTCCCTATTAGTTGCCCCCCATTCCTAAGCTTGCACGTCTAGCTTTAGGAATGTAATAAATAATATATATATATATATATATATTTTTTTTTTTTTTCAACCCCTATGAACAGTACCGCAGGTACTATTCACGTGAATAGTAACTTATGATTTTTTTTTTCAACTCCTATGAACAGTACCCGCAAGTACTATTCATGTGAATAGTAACTAAGGGATTTTTTTTTATACCCCTGTGAACAGTACCCGCGGGCACTATTCACGTGAATAGTAACTCAGGAAATTTTTTTTTTTTTTTGGCACCCGAGGGAATAGTAATCTTCCTTTGATTAGGGAATAAATTGTATGAGTTTCACTCCTTTAATAAGGGAATTGAATTTTACGAGTTTTACTCAGCTCGTCCATTTAATAAGGGAATTGAACTTTACGAGTTTTACTCAGCTCACTTCTTTAATAAATGATTTTTATTTACTATCCCTTGTTGTAAGGGGATATTAATTACGGGATTCATCCAACCCGGGTCCTTGTAGTACAGGACATTCATTTATTATTCCTTATATTACGGGGGATATGGATTACGGGATTCATTCAGCCCAGGTCCTGATAATACAGGATACTTATCCCCTATAGTCCGGGGATATGGATGACGGGATTCATTCAGCCCGGGTCCTTGTAATACATGACACTCATTTACTATTCCCTTATAGTACGGGGATACGGATTACGGGATTCACTCAGCCTGGGTCGGACACTCATTTACTATCCGTTATAGTACGGGGATACGGATTACCGGCTTCATTCAGCCCGGGTCCTTGTATTATAGGACACTCATTTACTATCCCTTATAGTACGGGGATACTGCACGTATAAACTAAAAGAAATTTTATTAAAGACCATTATTGCCTCAAGGCTTATTAAAAACAAAATAACACGTGATAGAGCTACCCTCCATTTAAAATGATTAACTAAGATGCCCCCAATCTTTATTGTGAATGACTTGATAAGGCTAATTCCAGCCGTGAGACAATTTCTAGTATACAAAATAACACGTGATAGAGCTACCCTCCATTTAAAATGATTAATTAAGATGCCCCTAATCTTTATTGTGAATGACTTGATAAGGCTAATTCCAGCCGTGAGACAATTTCTAGTCGGTATACTCATCTGAGGCCTTCTCATGATATGTGCTGTCGCTCTGGCTGAAGAACGATTTCTTATATTTGGTATTATTTTCATCCCTGGCGAGAGGGGCTGGCCTCTTCTTGTCCTCTCTTTCCTTCCGTGCACTCATGGTGTCTTCAGCGTTGATGTGTTTTTGCGCTCTGACCAGCAACTCTATCATGCTGGTGGGAGGTTCTTTTGATAAGGAGAACAAGAATCTGGAGGTTTGGAGTCCTCTTATGAAAGCGGTCAAAGCTACCTTGTCGTCTACCTCTTCTACCTGCAACATCTCTGCGTTGAATCGGGTGATGCATTCCTGAATCGACTCTTCCTTTTGTTGTTCCACGGTAAACAGGTAGGTAGCCGGCCTCCTACGCCTCTGACCTGCAATGAAGTGGCTCACAAACTGCTTACTCAATTCTTTAAAGGTGTTGATGGTTCCTGGCTTCAACTTGTTGAACCAAACTCTCGCTGATCCCTTAAGTGTAGTGGGAAAAGCTCGGCACATGATTTCATTTGGCACAGTGTGTAACTGCATAAAAGTTTGAAAAGTTTCCAGGTGATCGAAGGGATCTTTGGTCCCATCGAAGCTTTCGAACGAGGGCATCCTGAACTTGCTAGGTATTAGACATTTCATAACGGCGGGGCTGAAAGGCAGGTTGGTCCTTTGTACCAGGTCATCTACGACGGCAGAACCTTTCCCTTTCATAGCCTGCATTACATCTTCCATTTTCCCCTTGAGATCTTTAATCTGCAAGTCGATATGGGTAACTTTCTTTGTCTTTTCCTTAAGACAGAAGGCTATGCTTTCAGGAGGTCGAGAACTCCGTGGGAGAGATGGGTGAACCACCTCTCTATGTCGGGTTCCCACCTGGCTTTGTTCCACTTCAGTCTCATTTTGGGGGGGATGATTATCCTTCTCTTCAAGATTCCCATTACCTCCGTTTGGACTTGAGAGATCTTGTCCTGGAAAGTTTTGTTGAACTGGTGGAACAAGGTGTTGCAAGAGCATTGCATTTTGCTAGATCAACTGGTTCATACCCTGACTCAGAGTTTAAACCTGCAGTTCCAACACTGCAAGCAGTGCCTGGTCATTTGGGACGTCCAGGATTTCACCCGACTCTACCCTTTGACCAGATCCCTACGACGGTGTTCCTTTGGTAACCATACCAGACTGCAAACGTATATACCCAACGAGTAATTAATTGATTCAAGGGAATCGTTGTTCCCACAGACGGCGCCAACTGTTGAGGCTGAAATTCGTGCAGTCCAATACGATACCGTTTTCCTGCAAGGAAGAGAGGAGAAGATCGATGAACCTTGACGGCACTGGTGTGGTGCCTGCCAAGAGCTCTCCGACTATCAAATTAGTCACGGAGGTTTAAAAAGAAGGCAGGGATTAATAATAGTTTTTACGTCGTACCTTCTTTAATGGCTTGGTGCCCTATTTATGGCTGTCGATTGGAATCAAAATCGTTCCGCCGATGTCGATGGTTGATCTTATCTTCCGCTTGTGTGAAATCATAAGAGATTTGTTACCAGATTTGTCGGGGATATGATTTAATCCTTTTGACCTCCTCCAGTTATAATAGGATTATTCTTACCTGTTGAACCACGTCAGATTTCATTATCTAATCAATTTTATCGAGGGTAGGGTAGGTTTATATTTTTCCCTATCATTATTCATTTTATTAAACATGAAATTTTAATCGTCAAGGAGATGTGTACGTATCTTCAATTATAGGTCAATTCAAAACTAGTTTCATAGTAAGCTTAGACTTTTTGGAGCTCAAAGAATGTGGCATAAGCTGGAGAAGTGTGCACAAGCGCACGGGGCATGGACACACTTGTCTCTCGCAATATACATTAAATTGATAATGTAATATTATATTTTATACATTTATTATTTATTTTATTTATAATAAAATTTTAAGGAGACGTGTAACTTCAATTATAGGTCAACTTAAAACTAGTTTAACGAAATAACTCAATTTCACAATAGGCTTAGACTTTTTAAAATTTGAAGAATCTTTGCAAGGTTATATGTACATATATGTATATGTATGTGTATATATAATTGTATGTATTTTTCCCTAATTTGGCTATAATTGTAAAGCTTTGAGCAAGATCGTATGCAGTCGGCTCCAGTAAGAGCTTGTGGAATGGCAGGTGCCGCAGGTTAATCCACCTGGTGGAGCTCATTTATTCTATTTACAAAAATAAAAACATTAATAATATAAAATTAATAAAATTAAAATTAGTTGGGACCGTTGGGTCAATTGTAACATAGATGCATTTTGCCATGCTAAATGTGTGATTTGTTTAAAAGGAAAAAATATCCCATAAATTTTGCTAAAATTTGACTAGTGTGGGATCAAAGAAGCTTTACTAATATAAAGAAACCTAGGGAAGTGTGCACAAGCTCACGTGTTGTATAGGTGCACTTGTGTAATTGATAATGTAGTATTATATTTTCTATTTTTTTTTTTATTTATAATAAAATTTTAATTGCTAAGGAAATATGTAACTTCAATTATAGGTGAATTCAAAACTAGTTTCACATATTAACTAAGTCTAAATTTTTTAAAACTTGAAGAATCTGACCTAAGTTAGGAAAGCGTGCACAAGCTCACGGGGTGTATACACATTTATGTCTCGCAATAACATTAGACAATACACGGCTCACATGTCTCCTTAAAAATTTTTAGTCTCCAAAACGAATATTCTTTTTGAGACAAAGGGAGTAGTTAAAATTTCATTATAAATGAAATAAATAATAAAAATAGTGTAAAATATAATATTAGATATGTTTTGATTATTCAAGTTTGAAAAAGAAAAGTGAATATTTATTCTGGGACAGTTCAAAAAGAAAATATGGACATTTTTTTTGTTTGAGACAGAGGGAATATTAAAGAGATGTGTAACTCCAATTATAGGTAGCTCAAATTTGACTTAGGCTTAGACACAGTTTCAAAGCTTAGTTTTTGGAACTTGAAGAATCTGACATGAGGTAGGGATGTGTGCAGGAGCTCATGATTATATAATACTCCCTTCGTCCCATAAAAAGTGTCACTTTTAAGGAACCGTGACTCTCACAAATTGAATTGTCTCGGTTTTCGAAACACGACACTATTTTTAGGACGGAGGTAGTATTATATTTTATACTTTTATTATTATTTTTATTATAATAAAATTTTAACTGTAACCCAAAACTAGTTTTACGTATTAATTCAATTTCATAGCAGATTTATTTTTTGGAATTTGAAGAATCTGACCTAAGATAGGGAAGTGCACAAGCTCACGGAGTGTAGAGTGTAGACACACTTGTCGCACAAACGTTAAACTGATAATGTAATATTATATTTTATACTTTTATTATTCATTTTATTTATAATAAAATTTTTAACTCTTAAGGAAATGTGTAATTCAAAATTAAATTGACGGATTAATTCAGTTTCACAATAGGTAATTGATCTCGGAAAATGTATAAATTCACTTGGTGTTGACTCTATCACAAATTGCAATAACATTAAATTGATAATATTATATAATATAATATTATTTATTTTTATTATTTATTTTATTTACAATAAAATTTTAAAGAGACTTGTAATTTCAATTATAGGGATTTTTTTGACTGCATTGTCTTTTTTCAAATTCTCCAACAACCCCTCCTTCAATTATAGAAAAATGAGAGCAATACACACTACACACACAAATAAAATAATAATAAAAGGTTGCATGGTGCACTTGTATTGTATTGAACTGTAGTTTTACAGTGCACTGGAGAGAATCCGACTCCATAGCTGAGCACAATTCTCAGAGATTCCTCACCATTCTTACACCTGTATAAAGGTTCGTCTTCCCATTCTGTGTTACCAAATCTTCTAGGTTTTCTTTTTCAATCTCGTTCTCATTATTCACGTTCATGTTAATTTTCTCTCTAATTACAGTGTCTGTAAGTACTATCTTTTCTCTCTCCTTCAATCTGTGATCTCTTTAGGGTTTAGTGTAACAAATGTCTTATCATCATCATCATAATCACTATTATATTTCTATTTCTCTCTCATTATTCATGTTAGTTTTCTTGAAAATTATAATATCTGCAAATTCTTTCTTTTAGTAATTCTTTGATAATAATTTTCTCTCCTACAGTCAATGATCTCTTTAGGGTTTTGTTCAAGAAATGTCTGATCATCATCACTAGTCCCTTTTACTCAAGAACCAGAAAAAATTTCACTCTGTTCATGGAATTGCAGTGGTAGTGGAATTGTGTGTTGATTTGGTTTTTTTTTTTCCCTGAGAATGGTTTGGTGAATTGAATCAATGGAGGAAGATGATCAGAAGTGGCGATGTACGAGGACGGGCACACCCAATTGGAGGTGCAAAGAGAGGGTTTTGAGTGGTTACGCTGTGTGTGAGAAGCACCATTTCATGCAGAAGCGTAACCAACAGAAGAAGAGGAGTAATGAAGTTTCGGCCGGTGAAAGTGGCGTAGCTGGCCGGAAAAGAAAAAACAGGAAGTCGGAATGTGACCGGAATTTCTTGTCCGTGACGGAGATGGAGGTTCTTGGTGGTGGAGTTCAGGGTCGGTTTGGGGAAGCTGCAGGCACAAGTGGTGGTTCTGTTCTCGACGGGGAAGGAATTCCGGTCTCGTCGGGTGGGAATTGTAGCTTAGTTCCTGATGGTCATGGTGGTCAAGACAGATTGTGTGAGAAGCACCATTTCATGCAGAAGCTTCACCAACTGAAGAAGAGGAAGAAGGAAGTTACCGCCGGCAAAAGTGGCTTAGCTGGCCGGAAAAGAAAGGATAGGAAGTCGGAATGTGACCAGAATCTCTTGACCTTGACGGAGATTGAGGTTCTTGGTGGTGGAATTGAGGGGCGGTTTGGGGAAGCTGCAGGCACAAATGGTGGTTCTGTTCTTGATGGCGAAGAAATTCCGGTCTCGTCCAGTGGGAATTGTGAAACTGCAGGAAAGGATGCAGGGAAGGATGATGGTATGGCTCTTGGTGGTGAAGAAAATCCGGCCCGGTTCAGTAAAGTCAACAATGCCATTCTCTTAGAGGTTTGCTTTTCCATAATCTCACTACATGTGTAGCTTGAGTAGTATCTCCTACCACTACATTATGTTAAAATATAAGGTTCATTTCTTCTTGTGTATTTTATTGCTTCAAACTGTTGATCACTGATATATAAAGATCTGTATGAATGATGGTTTTGGTTTCCAGCTTTCGATTCATACAAAGGCATTGGCTATCCAAGATTCAACAGCATCGGTGCCCGTGGATCAGAATGATTCATGTGTAATTGCAAGGGATGGAACACAAAATGGAGCACGTTGTGAGGTCGACGAATCAGCTGTCTGTAATTCTAAGGTTGTTAAGAATTATTTTACTATATAAATGATAATAATGGATGTACCAGATTTTAATTCTTGTTTTGGTTATAGCAAAGATGTAATTGGTCATCTTTTTTGAGTTCATGGCCATGTCTTTCCCAATAGTTCCTACATTTTTTTAGAGATTTGGTCAATCATATTAACTTCATGTTACTGCTTAATCTCTGCAGAAATTTCAGGATGAGCTAAAGAAGCTAGGTCTAAAAATAAAGTGGCATGAAGACAATATCAAATCTTTGAAAACTCAGAAGACTAGTTTGGATGACTCCATTCTGGATAGGCAAGGTACTTTCTTTTTTCTAATTGTCAATATATATAACTTCAATGTAAAAAAAGACTCTTTGAAATTTGTAAAAGTTGGAAGTGAAGGATCCCGGCATATTAAAGCACCCTACTGAGGAAGTGGATAAAATGGTCAAGTCTCTAGCTTTAAGGGCCTGAGTTTTGGTGCTTTTACTAAATTATGCCCAACTAATGATCAGAGGGTACATGACATCTTTCATGGGTGTTCTCACTATCAAGAACGCATTTCTAGTGACTCCTTAAGTTGCATTTAATTAATTCTGACCCTGATTTCTTGCAGTTTAAATATTATTTCATGTTATTTAATTACCCCGAAGTGGAATTAAGTCATGAAGCTGATAAAGATGAACATAACACTTCATTTGTCAATTATTAGTTGTTTCAGTTTGAACTTCTGGTCAAAGTGATGTTGCTCTGGAAGTAAAATGCAAATTTGAAATTTTATGCATTTTACATTTATGCTTGTTTTCCTATTCTCCATTAACAAGTATTCTCTCAGTTAGTCTTGGCAAGTATCATTCATCCAGTGTGCCTTGGACCGAAAATGAGGATATTTCCCACATAAAGAGTGAGGAAGAAACGGTTGAACATATTATAAGGCAGGAGAAATCGGCAGCTGGAATTTTGTTCCAATTAAAAACTCATCATGGCGCTCAGGCTTATAAATTTCCGTTGACCAAGGATGTGCTTGGAATTGTTGCTTCACTTGGCAAAGTAGATGATGATAACCTTAGCAGGTTTGTATACTTTTGCCTTGTTTCTTGTTTTCCATTTTTTGTTGCGGCATTGGACTATAGCTTATGTTGCACCTGATTATTTTTGAGCTGTTTTGGGTTGGCCACTGTGAATATATTGCACCATGTATTATGTACAATGATGTAAAAAATATTGTAATTTGCCGACCATCTTAAAAAGACATTTATATTATTAGGTTTATTACTGAAACTTGTATAGATTTTTGTGTTTCTGAAGGGTGGGAGATGAGTTTGGGTGCTACATATATAACTGTCTGGTTGAGAGTTTTGAATCGACCAAATGTTTTGTCAAAGTAACTACACTGGGGATGGAAGACATCATTTAATATGTTAATTGAGGAGTCTTATGAGATTTTGCCGTCACTAATTTATATTATGCTTGACATGCTCTTTTTCTATCTGGGAACCCAGGCTTCTCTCGGAGTATTTGGGGATGGAAATTATGCTGGCAGTTGTTTGCAAGACTTATGAGGGCGTTAAAGCCCTGGAAACATATGACAATGAAGGATCTATAAATGAAAGTTCTGGTCTTCATGGGCTTGGAGCTTCTATTGGAAGGCCTTTGGATGGCCGATTTCGTGTAATTTGTCTTGAGACTTTAACGTATGTCAAGTATATACTGTTTTTGTTTAGGCAATCTGGAGTTTCTTTTTGTAAATGTTCTGAAGACTTTTTTTTTTTTCATTCCTTTCTCTTTGATGTGTATGTTCAGACCATATGTCGGCAAGTTTGTAGCTGATGACCCACAAAGGAGGCTTGATCTTCTAAAGCCAAGATTACCTAGTGGGGAGTCTCCACCTGGCTTTGTTGGGTTTGCTGTGAATCTGATAAATGTTGATACAATGAACCTATTCTGTCTAACAACAAATGGGCATGGCCTCAGGGAGACTCTTCTCTATTTTCTTCTCTCTTGTCTGCAAGTGTACAGAACACGGGCAGACATGCTACAGGCTCTACCTTTTATATGTGATGGAGCCCTATCTTTGGACGGAGGGATGATAAAGAATGGTGTTTTTTGCCTTGGCAGACGGTAAGAAGCCTAGACATTGCAAGTAATATGTCTGCACATTTGTCAGCTTACTGGTTTAATTTACAGTTAAGAGTCATATGTGTTTAGTTTATATGAGTCCTTTTACAAGCAGTTGTGCTACTACAGGAAGTTGCATTCTTTGGAGAACAAAATGTTGATCTCTCTTTGCGTCACACCTTAATTGATGAAATAGATATCATTTTCTTTAATTGCATCATTTACATTTGTAATTTTTCATAAATTTAATTTCTGAAATTCGATGTAGATTATGTCCTTGTTTTTTTTTTTCCTGATGCCACATCTTTCTTTGTGAACCTATCTGATAGAAGGGAAGACGTGGATGTGAAATTCCCAAAAAGCTCCGGGATGTCAAATAAACCTGTGGACTATTTTGATACTAAAAATCAGATAAAGGAGATGAAATGGGAATTGGAAAGATTGCTGGAAGATATACAGAGACAGCAAGCATTGTTGGACCATGCAAAGTTCAATTTTAGAATAAAGAAGCAAGAGTTTGTCAAGTTCCTGGCGGAAAGTTCACGGTATGCAACTCAGGTAGTTCCTTGAGAAATTCTTGATTGGAAATGTGTAATAGTTTGCTTGCAGAAATAACAAATTCTTATTTGAAATTGTAGTTGGTGCCGTGCTGAAAATATAAATTTGAACTAGCTTGACAAAACCTGGTTTTTATGTGCCGTCTACAATTTTGATCATTGTATGTCCAGAAACTTATTTAATTTTTATACATTGAGTTGATAATTTGAAAACTATCTTGTGGACGGCCAAAATGTTGGTCTATTTGACTGGATGACTTAACCCATTGTGCCTTCTGATTCGAAAATGCCAGATGAGCAAAATATTTTAGTATTTAAAGTTATGCAGCAAGTTGTTTTTATTATTTTTTTAATTTTATATAAATTGTTAGTAAGAATTAAGAGAGACTTAATATCATGTGCAGAATTAGTTCGGTCAGGGCGTGATAGATTAACTGGAGATGATAGCTGCTTTGAAGAACCAAGTATTGAAGTTAGTCGAGGAGATTTCTTCTTCAGATTCGGAAAAAGGAATGTGTCTCCCGAGTTCAGACTGGAGGAATTTTTTCTTCGAATTCAGGTTCAGCAGATGCAAAATCAGTGATCCCCTAGTTATGATTGTGGGTGAAATTAACCACACATGGTGTCCCTTGAGGATTGATTTGTACTGGAGAAACTGAAATCGAGCATCGAACACATGCACGTGCAACGTGCTGGTTATTTGTACAGCAGATGCTGTTGATGTTGTATTTTTTTCCTAATGCTTGTACAGTTACGTAGTTGTATCTACTGATTTGCAACCTTTGATTTAGGTTCAAAGGCTCTGAGCATTTTCCAGTCAAAAGCACAGAGCCATTGTGTTGTGTACTTAAAATGTTTCTCTTCTTTTCTAAAGACAAGTTGGGACTGGGAAAGGCAAGGAGATTTAGGTAGTCTCTTTGATCTGGTTGTAGTTGTTTTAGAGACAATCTGTGCTTCGCTGACCAGTTAAAGCTTTGTCCAATGTTGTGACATTTGAAAACTGCTTTGCATGTTTTTTATGTAACAATTTTTTTTCTTCTTTTCCTGGCAAACTAGGGGAAGGGGGGAGACTCGGACTCGAGCACACCGGTTCGGAAAGTTGGATTCTCTACCAATTTGGACACGGGTAGTTCCCGTAGATATAGCAAATTTGATTTGTATTCTTGTATGTTAGTGGCATGTTGGAACTGAAACTGTCATTAAGGTCCAATTCTTTTGGGCTTCGCTTTGCGGATTTTGTGAGGGAAATGTAAAAGAGAATCTATTTATTTACTTCTTATCTCATTAAATAAAATTGGATTCTAAAAGATTTACAAAATGGTTGGACATTTTAAAAAGATAGGGATTATGAATTTATGACACCAAAATTAAATTTAAACTTTTCTCTTTGTATTTTCACTCATAGGAGTATATATTGTTTATCTTTGACCTTTTGTTTTCTGTGATTAGTGGGGGTTAAAAAAAACTAATAATACGGAGTAATTGAATTTTTATACAGCCTCTTTTTTTTTTTTTGGTTGTTAAATTATGTGAATCAAATATAATCTGAGTTATGGGAATGTCATTAAAATGATAATGCAACATTTTACTTTTGATATTCATTTTATTTATTTATTATTTTTACTTTTTTTATAATAATAGTACATGCAGTCCTTCTGCCCCCATGTACATTATATATTTATTGAAATTTTAACGTTAAGAAGAGATATAGATAGGTAAATTATATTCCTTCCATCTAAGAAAAAATGTATCTTTTTGAGAATCTAACTTTTTAAGAGAACGAATTTTAGTATTTTTTTTTTTTTATTATAGATAGTGAATGAATTATAAAATCTATTCATAGTGAGTCCATATGAATATGATAATGATTTATTTTTATAAGTTAAAATGTAAGAAGTTAAATTTGTAGTTTTATAAAATGTAGTAACACATTTATTTTGAACGGTTAAAATTGAAAAGGTGAGCATTGGATTAAAAGATAGCGGTAGCGAAAGACTAGACATACCATTGGGTTCTCTACTTCTCTGCAACACGGTGCACACTTCTGTATTACAGTACTAGAATAGTAGTGAAATTCAAATACTGAAGAAAAATCATAAACTGAGAGAAATCTTGATTGGTGAGGATTTTTATTTTTATTTTTTTATTTTCAACCAAACTGCTCCCATTGCATATTCTTTATGAATTAGGAATATATATATATATATATATTTTAAAACGGATTAATTTTTACAATAACTTTAATAGATAAGAGTTAAATAAGAATTCTTGTCAGCTTTAAAAAAAAACAAATTCTCTCCTTATTGCTTTTATTTCAAGCATTAATTATCAAAATAAATGATTTCACGCAACACATTAAATAAATATTATTAAATACATTAATTACATTTACGCAGAATAACAATACTTCTTAACGAGTGCGGCTGACGGTCTTTGTTGCTATCGGTTTTGAAACTTTGGCTATAGCTTTTTGTATCTTTGATGTGACTCACCGTTTTTTTATATAATAAAAAATTAAAATTGCACGGACCACGTGTGCAGCACCGTAGGTTTTTAGTGTTGCTATATGACACTGGAGAGGAGCCGAGTCCACCGTGTACAAAGCCCAGCACAATTCTCAGAGAAACGCAATTTAAGGTATCGAAGTGAGTAATTATACTCTCCTCACCATTCTTAAGTTACACCTGTCTGTATCAAGGTTCGTCTTCCCATTCTCTGTTACCAAATCTCCTAGGTTTTCTACTGTATATCAATTTCTTTCTCATTATTCATGTTAATTTTCTAGAAAATTATAATATCTGCAAGTACTATCTCTTGATTCTTTTTGATAATAGTTTTCTCTCGTTCAATCAATGATCTCTTTAGGGTTTTGTTCAACAAATGTCTGTTCATCATCATCATCATCATCATCATCATCACTAGTCCCTTTCACTGTGTTTATGATATAACAACAATGTTATCAATTATCGGCAGAGTTTAACTGTAATTGGAATTATAGTGCTAGTGGAAGTGTGTGTTGGTTAGGTATTTTTTTTTTTTTTCCTGAGAATGGTTTTGGTGAATTGAATAAATGGAGGTAAGATGATCAGAAGTGGAGATGTACGAGGACGGGCATACCCAATTGGAGTTGTAAGGAGAGGGTTTTGAGTGGTTACACTTTGTGTGAGAAGCACTTTTCAATGCAGAAGCTTTTGCAAGAGAAGAAGGAAGTTCCGGCCGGTGAAAGTGACGTAGATGACCGGAAAAGGAAGGATAATAACTCGGAATGTGACCAGAATCTGTTGACCGTGGCCGGGATGGAGGTTTTTGGTGGTGGAGTTCAGGGTTTGTTTGGGGAAGCTGAAGGCACAAATGGTGGTTCTGTTCTTGATGGCGAAGGAATTCCGGTCTCGTCCGGTGGGAATCGTAGCTTAGTTCCTGATGGTAATGCTGGTGAGGACAGATTGTGTGAAACTACAGATTGTGTAAATCCGGCATGGTTTAATGAAGTCAACAATTGGGGTGACAGTTCGAGTATGTATGGTGGAACTGAAGGTACGTTTCTTAATGAGGAAGGAATTTGGGATTTGTTTGGTGAAAACCCAGACGAAAATTGCGGCCCAGATCTTCAGGGTGGAGTAATTCAGGTTCAGTCAGGTGAAATCTGTGGCAGTCAAGAGCACGATCCGGACCTTGGTGGAGGAGCAGTTCAAGGCAAGTCAAGTGAAGCAGGGAATGCAAACAGAGGTTCAAGTCTTGATGTAGAAGGAGCTCATGGCTGGCCTGGTGGTGGAGATGACAATGTGCGTCAGAAGGGAGAAATTCAGGGCATGCTTGTTGAGGTTTCCGGAGTGAATTTTGCTACAGGTGATGTTGTTGGGAAAAAGAAGCCTGGGAGAGGTAGGCCGAAGGGCTCAAAGAATAAGAAGAAAAATGAGAAAATGTTGCCTGAAGTTGCTGGCAGCAATCATGTTGGTGATGGGATTGATTGCAGAGGGAATTGTGCTAAAGATGAGGTTGTTGGGCAGAAAAAAGATGGGCGAGGCAGGCGAAAGGGTTCAACAAGTAAGAAGAAAATTCTTGCAGCTGCAGAAAATGAGACAATGTTGCCTGAAGTTGCTGGCAGCAATCATGTTGGTGATGGGATTGATTGCAGAGGGAATTGTGCTAAAGATGAGGTTGTTGGGCAGAAAAAAGATGGGCGAGGCAGGCGAAAGGGTTCAACAAGTAAGAAGAAAATTCTTGCAGCTGCAGAAAATGAGACAATGTTGCCTGAAGTTGCTGGCAGCAATCATGTTGTTGGGCAGAAAAGAGATGGGCGAGGCAGGCAAAAGGGTTCAACAAGTAAGAAGAAAATTCTTGCGGCTGCAGAAAATGAGACAATGTTGCCTGAAGTTGCTGGCAGCAATCATGTTGGTGATGGGATTGATTGCAGAGGGAATTGTGCTAAAGATGAGGTTGTTGGGCAGAAAAGAGATGGGCGAGGCAGGCCAAAGGGTTCAACAAGTAAGAAGAAAATTCTTGCAGCTGCAGAAAATGAGACAATGTTGCCTGAAGTTACTGGCAGCAATCATGTTGGTGATGGGATTGATTGCAGAGGGAATTGTGCTAAAGATGAAGTTGTTGGGCAGAAAAAAGATGGGCGAGGCAGGCCAAAGGGTTCAACAAGTAAGAAAAAAATTCTTGCAGCTGCAGAAAGGAAAATTCTTGCAGCTGCAGAAAATGAGACAATGTTGCTTGAAGTTGCTGTCACCAATTATGCTGGTAACAGGATTGTTTTCAGAGGGAACTGCGCAAAAGATGAGGTTATAGGGTGGAAGAAGGATGGGCGAGGTAGGCCAAAGGGTTCAAAAAATAAGAAAAAAATTCTTTTGGCTGAAGAAAATGAGAGAATGTCATTAGAAGTTGCTGGCAACAATTATGTTGGTGATAAGATTATCAAGGAGAAAGACGGAAGCAGCTGGCCTAAGGGTTTAAACAATAAGATGCTAACTCATGATGGTAAAGAAGATGACCATGTGGATTCCAATGTAAAAAATGTTGATGGTGACAATAATGTAATTAAGAAGCGCAAGGTTGGCCAACCCAAGGGTTCAACAAAGAGAAAGAGGCTAATTCTTGCTGCTAATGAGACTGGCGAAGTTGGCTGGGGAAATGATAGTGGACATGAGAATGCAAATTCCCAGGTTTTGAAGAATGAGACGCCAATTCTTGCAGGAAAAGAATACCAGAGTCAGGATAGTGGAGTTGCACACAAAAATGATGCTAAAGATGAGAATGTATCTCAGGTTCCACAGAGTGAAAAACAAATTCTTGCTGCCAGTGAGGAGCAGACTGGGGCCAGTGGTTTTGCCCATGGAAATCATGGTGGAGATAAGAATGTACTACAGGGTTCAAAGACTGAAAATCTAACTCTTGCTACTAAAGATGATCAGAGTCATGCCAGTGAAGCTGGATGTAAAAAACGTTATGGATATACGAATGTAGCTAGGAAACAGAAACGGAAGCGTGGCCGACCGAAGGGCTCAAAGAAGAAGCCGCGGTTAATTATTGCCGGTGAAATCCTGAGTTGTTCCAACAAAGTAGTGAAAAGCTTGGTAATGAATAAGGATGCAGGACGATTATTAGCTCAATCCAACAGTGTTCAGAAAAGGCCTAGAGGAAGGCCAAGGAAGTATGTCGATGAACGTTGCAAATCCATGTGCATTGGGGAGGAATGCTTCACTGCAAAACTAAAAGCAAATGGAATGGTGAATTCAAGATTATCAGTGAGTTATTCCAAATTCATTCTACTTTTATTGGTGATACATTAGTCGGGCAAGCTTGTTAACATTTACTTTGTGCTGAAGGTTGAAAAATTTAGAGGTCAAAAGACTGATACAAAGTACATATTGATTTTGGCACAAACTCAGATATTTTGGCACAAACTGATTTTTTATGATGTTCAGCAAGATAGTTCTTTTGAGTTTCGACTCGATTGTAGAACATCATCTTAGCATTTCATAAAAACTTAGGGCATGTTTGGTTCAATTCCTTGACAAAGGTTTTCAAGAACTCTTGAAACAGTTTCCAAAGAGTTAAAAAGAAGTCGTCTCTAAAATTGGATCCTTTTTGGTTTTTATATTCAGATAACCAAACAAAATTTTGATTTGTTTTATGCTTTTTGGTCTCTGAGAACAGAATATTCTTCTTAAAATACGGAAACAAAAAGACCTATATTATCATTTAGTATTATCTTCCAGAGGACGCTTTGATTATTGCTGCTGATCAAATGGAATCAGTCATTTGCAGCTGCATGAGCTTGCAAGTTATGACTAGATACTATAGAGCAGCCCATATGGGGCTTCAACCAGAAACATTCCCAATAATATGTGTTCCACATCAAGTGTGGAAACTGAATCCCAATGCTAAAATAATGTTACTTCTCAGATTCTTCTTAGAGGACCAAAAAAAGAAAAAAGAAAAAATAGTTTTTTTTTTTTTTCCCTTCATAAATAATAAAAAACAGTTTAGGAAATTAAGTATTATCCCCTCATCCACATGAGAAGCAATTGGCGAAAGCATCATTTGATTGTCTCTGTGAAAATATGGTGTCTAAATGTATGTATTCTTTAATTTTGAGCTGCAAATTTCCTTTCATTCTGATGGGATTTCTACTATAGGATGCTACCAGTTTGAAAAAAGAGCAGGGGAGGTTGATGTGTCACCAATGCTTGAAGGTTGACAAGATTGGTATCATCTTTTGTTCAAATTGCAAAAGGAAACGCTATTGCTACGAGTGCATCGCAAAGTGGTAATGAGAACTCAGAAAGCCCTTTTATTAATCAAATATTCAAATTGTGATTACAATACCCAGACTTCCAAACTCCATCAAATATGTGATCTATAAACTATGAAAAACAATGTTACTTCTTACAATTTATATAATTATATTTCTTCAGCTTTAACAAGTTAATGGCGATAAAATATCTAATTCAACGTGATTTACAAATTTATAGGGTCAGATACCTTACAGACTGAGTAAAATACTTCTTACTATTTTATGTTGCGAATTTGACATGTTTTTTTTATAAAGGTAAAGACTGTATACTGAATGACTTAAAAGCTTTTTGTACAAAATTATCTTGTTGCTTTATATTGATATTGTGAAATGGTTTTTTTTTTTTTTTTTCCTTTTCTAATGGTTGTAGATGTATTTCATAATAAATGAAATAGGTACCCAGAAAGAACAAAAGATGAAGTTGAGAATGCATGTCCATTTTGTCGAGGTTACTGCAATTGCAAAGCTTGTCTTCAAGCAGAAGTGGTTGTAAAGGTATGTGCCCTTATTTTTTATATTGTAGTTTCTTTTCATAAATATTTACCTATATTATTTATAGCAGTTTGCATAAGCGTAAAAAATAATTAGTTGTAATAGACCTGTCATACAGAAGCAGATGATAACATCAGATTGCAAAGGTCGCTCTATTTGCTGCACAGGACTCTGCCTGTCCTCAGGCATATTTTAGGGGAGCAGAGGTCTGAGCTAGATGTGGAGGCGAGCATACATGGTAACTTGATTTTGATACATCACTAGGGTGGAGGTTTTACTTTCTTTACTAGATATATGGTCTAGAATTCCGATATGTTTCTTCCGTTTGTTTGATAGGTATGCAATTGACAGAAGAGGATATAGCAAAATCTACACTTGATATAGATGATCGCGTGTACTGGTATGATATCATGCTTCTAATGATCGGATTGAGACATCAGTTATTTGTAAATTGTAATTTCTTTATTGTAGTTTCCTTAATTTGTTTATTATTATGTATTTGGTAGTGAAGTAAAACAATTTAAAGATTCACATTGGAGATTCTTATTTATTTGTTAGTTAGAAGTTAAACGAAGCGGCAGAGGACTCTGTAATCTAAACTCCCAAGTGTTGTTGATGTTTCATTTATCGTTACAGTTCGAAATGATTTCAAAAGATAAACTTTATAAATTTCAAGTTTTAAGTTATGTATTATCATAATAGCAATTGATCAAATGAGTGGTGCTTAGGACCAAGGTATGGAAAAGAATAGAAATTCAAAAGGGCCTTCCTGTTACTGGAAGAGTTTAAAGTTTTAGGAGGAACAGCTGTTTTATACTATTTCATCATTCATTATAGATGCCTCGCAGAACGGGTGACCATATGTTGGATTGAAAACATGGATTTTGTTACAGGAACAGCTGTTTTTTAGTATTTATCTTATGTGTGGAATGTGTATATGATATATAATTAATATCAAATAACATGTCATTAAGTTGATCTGGGTTGGCCGTTTATTTCCTGAGGTCATCTCTCACCTGAAAACTGCTCTGGTTTTAAATTCTGGCCCATCCAAATGGGTGATGCATAATCCCACCCTAGGTAAATGTGTACCTATTCATGGGCACTTTGGTGTGTGTGCTTGCAGACCTGCATGCATTAATATGTCATTTTTATTGTTATGACCCTACCTTGTGTTCCTAGTCTAGAGTAGCCTTTCCATGAATCCAACCATATATCCCAGTCTATCAACTTTAGAAACTTTTAGCAATGCGCAGTGCAATTTTAGCGAGAACATGGGAGTAAAATATTATTAACTTGCATTAAATTTTATCAAGTGTGGTTACTTAATATGTAATAATTTAAATTAAAAAACTTCATGATTTATTAATGATGCATGCACTTCTGGTGTTTGATTTCTTATGGTGATGGAGCTCCATTGTGAATTTGTGATATTTTAATATTTGCAATGCAATTTAAAGAATGACCTGACGTGTTCTGCTGTATCCTCTCTGATGTGTCTACAATTGATATGCTCTGATACCAATTGAGAAGTCTAGAACTATAACCCGAGGCTCTGATGTGACAGTAAAGCAAGACCTCTAAAGGAGGGAGTAAAAAGATCTTATCCAGTTTTCACTAACAATATATATATATATATATATATTTTATAAGTAACAGTAACTTATTTTTAAACTCTGACAATTATATTTTAAAAGCAGCAATATGAATCAGTTAAATATAGAGAACAAGAATGAATAAAACCATGCAGCCACCCTAATGGGAATGATTACGGGATCAAACCCTATAACCCCTAGTTACCTCTTTAACATAGACTGATCCACCACTCTCCACTCGAGTCTTTAGGTACGTAGTCCGCTTGACAATAGATTTGCTCCTGGTGCCATAGTTGTTGAAGGCTCAAGGCGCACCAAGGTGTCAAAGGCCTTTTGGAACCTAGGCACAAGGTGCAATATAAGGCGTGAGCCTGATCGAAATGAGGCGCTTGTGATAATGCATATTAATTATAAGTATAATAGAGAATAATTAAACTATGCAACACAAACTTATCAAAGACCAAAATAAGAAATTTTGTTAACATATCAATTCAATGGATTAGCCAAATAAACATACATATATCTTTCTATTTACATATGAATTCCTTAAAATCATGATACATTTGGAACAATTCAAGCTATGCAACACAAATAAGAAAAAAAAAATCTCTAAAATGGGATTTTTGATGTATCAACTGAGAGGATTAGGAACTTTTACCCAAAAAAAAACTAAGAGGACTAGGTATATTAATGCTCATAAATCCTTTCATATGCATATGCATTAACCAAATTAAATGTGATTACAAATCTGAAACAATTAAAAAGTATAATAGTGCAAACTTTAGACACATGTTATCTTAAATATTTAGAAAATTACAATTTAGCCATAAATGCAATTAATATAAGTAGTGAACCATAAAATTTATAAAATTTATCAAATATTTCAGAACGTTGAACAACATGATCCATTAAATATGATCGTAGAACATTTTAATTTAATAGTCGTTAAATAATAAATAATATGAATAGATAATTAAAAAATAAAAAAGTTGCGCTTTTCTGTGGCCTGGTGCCTACTTAAAGTGTGAGCCTGAGGGCTTTAGTGAGTCTGATTGAAGGAGCTTGACGTGTACTAGGTTGAGGCGCTCTGGCTGAGCCTTGACGAGCCTGGGCATTTTTGGAGCCTAGGCGCGACTTTTAACAACTAAGCCTTATGCGATCCACTTCTCTACTCTGTGATATGCTCTCCAGTGACTAGTTGATAAAAGTGGGGTTAGTTTCACTCTTCTTTGAAGCTTGAAAGTTTCACTCTTTGTGAGCCTGAGGACTTTATGTGAGTCTGATTGAAGGAGCCTGACGTGTACGAGGTTGAGGCGCACTGGCTGAGCCTTGACGAGCCGGGGCATTTTTGGAGCCTAGGCGCGACTTTAACAATTGTGCCTTATGCGATCCACTTCTCTACTCTGTGATATGCTCTCCAGTGACTAGTCGATAAAAGTGGGGTTAGTTTCACTCTTCTTTGAAGTTTGAAAGTCAAAGATCCGTCCAAGTTGCGTGTTCGTTTTGTAGACACTTCATATTGAGTTCTCCATGTAGCACAAGGATTATGATATTCAACACCCCGAATATTAACTCACCAGTTATTGCATGATCTAGATGATGAAAAATAAAATATGGTCTCTAAAAGTATATGATCTCTCAATAATGTGCGTAGAGATCTCCGTGTATATGTATGTACTTATTTATTAATTATTAATTATTGTCACAAATGGAAACTATAACTTTTCGAATTCTGATTAAGAAAAGTTTTGAAATGCTGTTCATGCATAGATCGATCGATGGAGCTATCAATTGACAGCTATTGGATAGGGCTTGATTGATTGACACATCAATCAACACCCTCAATGTCTTAAACTTTTGTTTCAGGCTCAACTTTGATTGATTGACCTTTCAATCGAGGATGCTCTCTGGACTTCACTCAATCGATCAACCCATCGACTGAGACCTGTTGGTTTTTGTGAACACTTTCTTATTTAAATATATTTATTCTAGAAACAACTTCATGCATGCAAAACATATTTTTTCATGAATCAAATAGGGTATGCATTGTGCCTTAAAATGAGAATGCATGATTATGAGCCTGAATTGGTGAGTTTGATTCAAAATAGTCCAATTTTCATATTAAGATACTACAAATTTATGTATCATAACATTTTTTTTTTATAAGGCTTTACTTTCTGGATTTGGACAGCCTTGAACTTAATGTGCCAGTATACCACTCGTCTGGCTGAGTTTAAGCCTCTGCTGGTGTGAGAAAGCTTAGACGTCATGGCAATAGATCAAGCGTAAGGTCTTCCTTTTGGAAATGCAAAAGTGAATTTGAAAAAGCTGTCAGCCAAAATTATGACCACATGTCTGGCATTTTAGTGAGAAATTTTCATGAAAGCAGTTTATTTATTTATTTATTTTCCTAGTTGGTACTCACACACACATGCCTCTACTGAGGCTCGAACCCCTGACCTTTCTTTGAGAAGTAGGGGCTTCGTACCGCTAGGCCACTGGCCTGTTGGTAAAGCAGTTTATTTAATAAATACTGAATGGCATTTTCTTACACTAATATGCACCAGTGCTCTTTTATTGGGAGTAGAAGATTGTTGATTGGCAGTAAATATTTCTCACTGTTTAATTTGCTCTCATTCTGCTCTGATGGCAGTTGTTGTCGTTGTCTATGCTCTCTTCTTTCTCTTTATTTTTTGGTTCCTCACTTTCCACATCTAATATCAAGGTTTTTTTTAAAAAAAAAAAAAATTATTCTGCAAGTTCCTGAGATTTCAGATTGTCATTAGGTATCTTTTCGTGCATCTTCCTTGGGTTGATTTGCCATAGATTTTTTTTTTTATTAAGATTCTGCAGGTAATATATGTACTTTTTAAACTTTTAATTAGTGATGACACATCTGTAACCTGCACAAGTTCTTATCAACAGTGACAACTGCAATACGTCCATTGTCAATTTCCATAGAAGCTGCCCAAATCAAGATTGTTCTTATGATCTATGTCTCAAATGTTGTCGAGAACTCAGAAAAGGTTTCCATCCTGGAGGTAATGAAGTGGAATCTTGTCTCAAACAGTTTGTTGAAGGGCAAGGTACAGACTTGAAGGGCCAGTTTTTTGAACATCAAGGGAGATATGGTTGGAAGAGCCAAGGGCCCCTTCCAGAAAATGATTGTTTTGCTGGTATATCTTGCAACTTTCCTGATTGGCAAGCAAAGATGGATGGCAGCATCCCATGTCCTCCAAAAGCGTGTGGAGGTTGTGGTTCTGGGATATTAGCACTTAGATGCATCTTTGAAGCTAATTGGGTCGACAAACTAATTAAAAGTGCGGAGGACATTATTATCAATTATCACTCCCCTGATATTGATTTTTCCCAGGGATGTGCTTTTTGCGTTCCTATCAGTTCTGTTGGAGGTGATGGGAAAGATCTCTCTGGAGTAAGGCGGGCAGCTTTTAGGGTAAACAGTCATGATAATTTCCTTCACTGCCCGAATACTGTTGACATGGAAGACAGTGGGTTTGAGCATTTTCAAGTGCACTGGATGAGGGGTGAACCTGTTATAGTTAGAAATGTGCTTGCAAAGTCATCTGGTCTTAGTTGGGAACCAATGGTCATGTGGAGGGCTTTCAGAAGTGCGAGAAGAAAACTGAAAGAGGAGACTTTTTGTGTTAAGGCTATTGACTGTCTGGATTGGTGCGAGGTACACATTTGATTTATGTGATTGCATTAATTTTTCATTCTTCTATGCTCGTAGATATATTTTTCTTCATATGATTCCTGGTACATTCACAAGTTACCAACGTGCTTTTTACGTTGTGTCTCAGTGGAGACCTGTTCAACTGAATTATGTGTATTCAAAACGCATCTTACACAGTTAACTGTATATAAAATATTAGTTGGTTTTTGATAAGAGTAGTTTAGCTGATCCATAGACTATGGCTGATAAAACTTATCCATCTATTAAAACAGAAACTTTTGCCTCGCACTACTTAAATTTCTTATGGCTGCTTTAGCAGGTATGCAACTAACAAGTTATTGGTTCAATAATTAACTTCAGCATCTTTGAAGCTGTTTTCATCAAGTCTATTATTATATTGAGCGTTAAATAAATGTTGTGTTTGAGAATTAGTTGAAGAACTACTTCAGGATAGTGTGCATGTGTGTGAAAAACGAGTCTATGAATAAATTGGAGAGTATAAGGTCTCTGTGTAGTTTTCCCGAAGCTGAACCATCTAATAATATTATTGCATTTAGCCGGTAACTTGAGCAGTATACTTTTTCAGGCTGGCAGTTTGAACTAAGCATATGCCTTCTGTTTCTTATGCAGGTTGAAATTAATATTAACCAGTTCTTCAGGGGGTACCTAGAGGGTCGTAGTCATCAGAATGGTTGGCCAGAGATGTTGAAGCTGAAGGATTGGCCACCGACAAATTCATTTGAAGAATGTTTGCCAAGGCATGGTGCTGAATTTATATCTATGCTTCCCTACAGTGATTATACCCATCCAAAAACTGGTCTTTTAAATCTTGCTACAAAGCTTCCTGCTAGTGCTTTAAAGCCAGACTTGGGCCCCAAAACATACATTGCTTATGGGACTTCAGAAGAGCTTGGTCAAGGTGATTCAGTAACAAAACTGCATTGTGACATTTCTGATGCGGTATGTATTTGTTCTGAAAAGCTTGCTCCTTTGATTTTTCTTGCTGTAGTTCTGTTTACTAATAGTCTCCTTCCTGCTTCTCAAATCATATCTTTCCTCTGAGCCTTAGCCTTCAACATGTTCAACTTTATGATGCAGAATTAGTCATAAGTTATTGAACTAAGATGCACTTGTATTTTACTGATTAAATATTAGATGGTATGAGGTACTTCCCTTGCATTTAGTTGCTTTTGGAGATTCTTATGACTTAACTACCTTCATCTGAATTGAATGCATTGGTGGGGATGGTGTTTTAACAACTTTGAGAGCGTCAGGGTTTTGACACAAACTTCATTGTTGTTTCATCCCTTCTGTTTGTTCTGTGAATCTTTTATCTGAAGCATATCCAATCATGTAATAGTCCTAGAGATTGAGACTTCACTACCTTCCTCTGAAGTGAATGTAGTGTCAGGTTTGTGTTTCAACAACTTTTCGTAAATCTCAGGGTTATGGTTGCTCTGTAAATATTAGGCCCAACTATATGCAGTCTGCAGTCTAAGATCACGCCCTTATCTCTCATGATTTGAAATCAATATGTGAATCATGCGAACAAGCTAAGGTTCTGATGATTATGAATTTATGATATTATTCTAGGTTATGATTTTTTTTGAAAACTTAATTGTTTTCAATTTTCAAAATTGCTATGAACTTCTTCTTCACTTCAGTAGCCTCGTATCCATACTGCCTCGACTCCAAACTCTATAATTTTGAACTAAGCAGGATACTTCCAAACTCTTTCTTATCAAAATCATTTCTCGTTCCCTTGTACAGCCATTGCTAGGCAGTTTTCGGTATGTGTTTTTTTGCAGTGTCAGTGTCTAGGGAGGTTAAGAGTGAATTAAGCGAATGCTTATAGATAGACAGACCAGGGCCGCCCTTTTATGTTGAGGTCCCAAGTCCGTCTTTGATCATGTTTGTTTTATCAGTTATTATTTTAACTTCCTATATAAAAAGTGTTAGTTTGACATCAATTTACCAGTGGCATTGGGTTCTCATTGCTTGAGTTTTGGTGAAATCATTCTAATAGTCATTACTGATATGTCAATATGGTTGGTGATATGTCCGTGGAGTGAAGGCATCCTTTTTGTGGTGGAATACCTTCGATTGAGGGGATGGAAATTTCCTTTCCCTTTCTTTTTTCTTGAAGTATTTTAAAATTTGAATAATTTTTCGTATTTATTTTGATAACATTGATTACTTTTGGGCTGTTAGAAACATTCTGTACTACTAAGATTTTTACAATGGCTGTTGACATACAAAGAGTATGTTTCCTTATTTTGTGGATCACTTCTGTTTTTAGCAGAAATTGTTTCTTGTAGAAATTGAGTTTGGTTGGATTTCATTAAAAACTTTTATCTCTTACTGCACATATTTCTCTACAAGTTTTAACTTTAGGACATAGTTTGTATTTCAGATTTTTGCCTCTCTCTCTCTCTCTCGTTTTTTTTTTTCTTTTTTTTTTTTTTTTGTGTGTGTGTTTTTGTGTATTTTTTTGAGTTTTATCTTTTGGGGGATGATATGAATGTCTTTTTATTGTATAAAGTTTAAGTTATCATATTCTTCGAATTCCAAAATGTGTTTAGGTTGATTTAATATCAATTCATTGATTTCTAAAGGTAGAAGAAGAAGAAGCAGCCAATTGGACATTCTGGCCTTGGATTGTAATGTACGTTGAGAAATGAAGGATTATAACCCTAGGCTTTGATCTGGACTGGCAAGCTCCACGATCTAGAGTTATTTATTATTATTATTATTATTATTATTTTTTTTTTTTGGGGGGGGGAGGAGGATAGGGACTAACAATTTTAATTAATATTTGAATTTTAACTAATTGGAATGACAATTTAAAATTAAACTAGAAAGCATATAAAACATTACCACGGGGCCTCTTATCCGAACAGCGAGTTACAGAGGACGTCAATAAGGCCATGAGAAGGAACATCTCTGAATGGTTGAGGCCCCTTAGCCACATCCTGAAAGATTTCCGCAACAATCTAAGGAGGCCTTGTGGATAGCTTGGTTCAGATATCAATCAATTCATCATCATAATAAAGTATATAAAATTACGTAAAGTGAACAATACTTATGATGACTCGATGATCACAAGGATTTACATGGAAACCCCAAGGGAAAAAACCATAGGATCTAGTTTAGGCAGATCAAATCCACTATGAGAAAGAGAATTACTACTGGGTTAATGGTTTTCCAAATCCTAGAAAACCCCTAGTTACTTCCTGACAGGTCATCTCTCCATTAATAGATGTGCTCCTGACCTGATCTGCTTCTCTACCAGCACATTGATGTCCATGACTAGTCAGGTCTGATGCATTGTTTGTTGTGTGTAACTTGAAGCTTTAGAAATTGTACGTTAAACACTGATGAACACTAACCATCTATATCCATGGATGATGAATGAAAGAATAGTCCATCAATTGGATTGCTAGGATGCACTCTATGCCACACAAAAATATGATGCTCAATATATGCTCTATGGTTTTTGTAGCCTCTGAGATTATAGGGTCTTACTTGTAGACCTTGGAGGCTGAAAAGTTTAGGTTTGAAAGAGTTCAAATCAGATTGGGAAACTACATTTTCTCAACTCTCGATTAGTCGACGAAAGTTTTGATTGGTCTCAACCCCAGTGTGTCTCGATTGAAGTCTTAGTTATATTAGGATTTGACTTTCTAAAACAATTTTATGCATTCAAATAGGCTGCTACTCAAATCATGCAATTTGAACCCTATCATGTTTAATAATATGAATGAAAGCATTTGAACCCTAAATGAGTGCACAATATTGAGAGTTGAATTTAGCTTTTTGTCCTTGTTAAAGCTTTGAATTATTTGATTCCGCCTTGGACAAAGGTAACACAATTAGCTTACTTAACTTTTAAGACATAAACAAAAACTAAAAATTAAAATTACAGACTCCATTTTGTATGAAATTTGCCAACCAAAGTCCTATTGACCTCACTTACTTTAATCACTTGAAACAATCATTTGTAATCATGGATGCCTGCAGATCTTTTTGACTTGTTCATTTTAAACTAATCTGCCAAGTATTTCAATGATGATCTGCTTTTCGTTCTTCCTTTTTCTTTTTCCTTTTTTCTTTTTAAATATCCTATTTTGAGGGGATGATGATTATGTCGTATTTAATCCCAGATAACCTTTTGCACCATTCTGAAATGTGTTTTTTTTTTTTTCTATCATTCTGTGTAAAACCTTTCATGTTTATGGACAATCCTTTAATCCTGTAAATGGCAACATAATGTGAATATCGGTTATCAATTTTGATTTAGAGAACTTCTCTTTCTGATATGTTTCCTAGATGGTTCTTCCCTTTTCTTTTTTTTTTTTTTTTTTTTTTTTGCAGTAAAATGTTGATTTATCTTTAGGCTATTTTCTCTACTACATTGGATCATGACCTCATATTATTTTATTATGACTGGTTAGGTAAATGTGCTGACACACACAACTGAGGTGAAGATTGCCTCATGGCAACGCAAAATCATTGAAGAATTGAGGAAGAATTACATAGCTGAAGATTTCCATGCTCAATGTGGTGGGACTAATAACACATCTGACACGTTTAAAAGAAAACGACCAAAACGAACTTGCAAAGTTAAATCCATGGGCAATAAGACTGCAAAACAAAAATATTTCTCTGTGAACAATCAACATGATACATTGACCACCTCCATTAATGGGAATTCATCTGTTAAGCCTGAATGCGTAAATGGGGAGATGACAGAACAGGTCGAGCAATCTGAATTCAAAATACTTTGCAGTGGCAAATTCAAGGATTCTGCTGAGAGGAAAGAAAATGCAAGAACCAATAGCCCTGCCACCGAACAATTATGTTATGCTCAAATGCATGAAACTAGAAATGCATTAGCTGAAAGGGATTCAGGCAATCAAGATCATGTTGAAGCTTCTACCATAACATTCGCGGATATGCTCATCAGCAGGAATGATTTACTGGATGAGCCTTTCTCTGGCAATTGCATAGTTAATGAAAAAGAATTGTGCTTACCAGATGACGTGGGTAACCGTCCTACAACTGAAAATTGCTCTTGTTCTCTTGGTCCTGATGCTGATAACGTAGCTGAAAGAGCATCACATAATCAAGCATCTGTGCAACCTTTATATAGAATAGTTACACATAAGCTTAACAATGGGAAAGATAACAAGGATGTGACTTCTTCAGTCAATAATTGGGTTGATGAATCAGATTCATGGAATTTAACTCTGAATGAGTTGGATGCTGGCCCTAACCATACTGCCAGATGTGGGGATGCTGCTGGGAGTAAATTTTTCTTACCAGATGAAATTGATGTAGGCCCTCACTGTCATTCTGCTGTAGAGTTCTCTTTTGCTCATGGGCTTAATCCTGCAAATGAAATAAGCGATAAAGATTCACATGATGAGAAACATTCTCAACCTTGTGGTGTACTTGGAATGAGTCCTATCAGTGGCAAAGATACTTTGGAGGCATGCAAAGAAAATGAAGTCAGTGGTTCAGAGTCAATCAAGGCAAATTCAGTTACAACTGGAGAATCTCTTCAAAACAATAATGATAGTTCAGAGGTTGTTCATGGTGGTGCCGTTTGGGACATTTTTCGTAGGCAGGATGTGCCTAAGTTAATGGAATACTTGCAGAAGCACTGGAAAGAATTTCACCACATCAACAATGCTCCTGTAGAATCTGTGGGTACTGCTTCATATCAATGCTCGATGATATTAGTGTAACTTGAATTTCTGACTTGGTTTACTGTACCTGTTTTAGGTTATCCATCCTATTCATGACCAGACCTTTTATCTGAATGAGAAGCATAAAGAACAGCTGAAGGAGGAGTTTGGTAAGAACTGTTTTTCACTTAATTATTAAATACAAGTACTTGCATATTAATTTGTGGCAGTATTTTCTCCCAGATGTCGAACCTTGGACATTTGAGCAATACCTTGGTGAGGCTGTGTTCATACCAGCAGGATGCCCACATCAAGTGAGAAATAGACAGGTGAAGTTCTCCCCCGCTCAGATATGTCTAGTATTAACAAGGTTGTTGCTTTTAAGTTGCTAGGTGGAAATTTATTTCATGTAATCTTCTTCTCGCAATGTAGTTGATTGATTCATCGTTTTACTTGCATGAATGTGCTACACCTAATTGAATGGGCTTGCAGCTTATGTTGCTGGATTAGGTTTTATGAAATGATTTTGGGTCTATTAAGGTAGTGCGTGGGATTTAAATAAGTTCATCGTGTCTTATGTGGTGTTAAAATGTAAAGATGCATTACCGTGAATGGGTCCATTAAGTAAAATGGGAAACATTACCACAACTGGTTGTAAGTGGATCAATTCCATATTGTCTTGTTGGTGAACGAAAATATACTTACCTGTTTTTTGTTCTGATGAATCTATTCAGTTAATTTTCTAGTTTGGTTGGCTTTCATACTACATGTGATCACTGTAATCACTGTTCATGGCATTGTGCATGATCATAGTTTCCTTCAAGGATATTGTCTCGAAAAATTCTGCCTTTGTATTTGGAGCTAATTCGCACTTCAATTCTCTGACTATAATGTTATTGATTCAGTCTGTTCTTAATCTGTAGTCTCTGTGATTACTGATTCCCTGTTTTATGTGAAGTCTCTGACAAAATTTCTTTAAGGATTCTGGCTTAGTCAGTTTAATCTTCATTTGGGCTGTTAAATACAATATTCTTACTTCTTTATTCTTTTGGGTAAATGGGCGGGACTGTAATTCAATGGACTCCCTTTTGGATTTTGTGGATAGCTTAAAGCTTGAGTGTCGTCTTGGGCGGCTGTTGTCTTCTTTGGGAGCGCTCCCCTTTTGAGTGCCTTTTATAAAATCTTACTTATCAAAAAAAAAAAAAATCTTCATGTTTTAGTGCTCTAAATTCTCAAGAACCAAAAGAATTTAGTTTCTGAACTTACCTGTAATCTGAAGTCTGGACAATTGAACTTTGAGCTTTGTCCATTTGAATTAGTTATATAAGCTCATGCTGACAAGCTTGCGAATGACGATGAGTCTTAGAGCAGTCACTTTGTGCAAATATCCCGTACTGCGTATGTGGGACGTGCTCTTCAGGAGAATTCACCCAATGAGTGATTGCCTAGTCCAAAATTTCTTTCAACCTTATGATTATTAGTACCGCCTGGAAATTGCTGCTGGGCAAGGTTTTTGTTCTTTTAGGAACTTTCAAGTTGCATTCTCTGGTTCCTTTTTATGAATACCTAAGTTCACCTTTTTGCTTGAACCCTTTTATCAGTCGTAGTGCTTTTAAAAATACGATTGGGTAATATGTTGATCTTAGTTTCCTCTTATTGTGACGTCTTTCTGTTTGTTTTCTTTCGACAGAAATTATATTTATTTTTCTTTCCTTCAGGCATTAAATAAACCTGCCATTTTTTTCATCCCTTTCTACATGATGGCTGCCCTTTTTCTATCCAATGGCCCATTTGCGATGGTTTTATATGGTTACTTCGAATTTATTTTGCATTTTTATGCTCATTTGGGACTAACACTCCATTTGTTTCGATTGTAAAATATTTTCTGGATTTTTTTGTTTTTCACTATTTTCTGCTGTTTGGTTATATACTATAATTGGTAGAATATATTCCTTTAAAAAGCCAAAAACAAATTATGGATCCAATATCAATGATCAGTAGTGCATTGCCCTCTTGCTGCGTTGCTTAAATCGGCCAGAAAATGGACGATTTATCTTATGCTTAATGGGACAAAATCATGTCTCTTTGTTAACATTACTAACCTCACCTCAATGCCTATCCCTTTAACTCTAAATTAGTATGTGATTTAAGGTCTCCGGCCAACTCCACTTTGTATAGCCATGACTGGAGGGAGAGATACAAGAGTAGGCAATTCCTTCTAAAAAAATTAATTTGGAGAAGTGCTCTAAGATTTTAGCCAACCACCAGAAAATAAGATTAAAAGAAGTTTTTCACATCTGAATTATTTTCATGCCAAATTGTTCTATCAAGGAAAATACTTTAGGTTGAAACCAACGGAGCATAAACTTGAGTCAAAGATCTCATTCTCCCTTGTTTAGCAGTCTGCTATCTGGATAGGATGTCATTTAGCTGAAAGACTAACCATTGTTCTTAATCATTTGCATCAGTGTTAATTTTGTTTCTATTGCATCTTGTACCCATTTCACGTGGCAAGGTTTTAGTTGTTTCTTAAAGAAATTATGTGTTTCTTTTAATGTAAACTTATTATTTTGAAGTCTAGATCATGGAGAGCCAGCCAACCACTCAAGCTCAAGCCAAACGATAGACCTAACAAGATGAAGGGGGCCTTGGGAGCCCTTTTGAGGATGAAGTCAGTCTAGCTTTAGGGGAATCTATTACTGAAACTTACTTTACAGTTTTTACTAATTAATAATTTAAGTCTATGATTTGTTGTTTTTATTTTCTTGGGGATGAATTGTTATCTGAAATTTTAAATTTTTGTACCGAGCTTCATACCATCTGTCCCTTAAGTTTTACTTTTGTATTGAGTTCTATGCTGAACATGGAAAATTTCTTTTCCATAGCAGTATAACTTAACAAGGCCCTCTATATTTGTTTCCATATTGGTCCTAGTAACTTTTATTTTATTTATATTTATTTCATTCATTCTTCCTCTCCTCTTTGATATATTGATTTATTGTTTTACTGTTAATTTTCAGTCTTGTATTAAAGTGGCCCTTGACTTTGTATCCCCTGACAACATTCAAGAATGCTTTCGGCTGACAGAGGAGTTCCGTTTGCTTCCAAAAACTCATAGATCCAAGGAAGATATATTGGAGGTACATGCTATTTGGATCACTTCCTTTCAGCAATTATCACCTGCATCCCAAGTATTTGTATTCATGATGCATCGCGGATCATTTATTGTTAAAGCGTAGAAGCAGATGTGTTGGTCATCTATTTGTGTCTTTTTCTTAATTAAGCATGCCATGAAGAAGTAATGGTGGTTTGACTAAATTTTTATCAATGTTATTTACCATCTCATTATCCATGTATCATCATTGTGTCCAACTTCCAGCATGCAATGCGATGTATGACATATCAATTGATATTCTTATATAAATTGAGAGAATAAATCTGTGGATATCTTTTTAAATTATCTGTAGCTTGTAATGGATATTTTCCACATTGTTACCTAATAATCTGTTAGCACATCCTTATAATCTTAAGATATATGAACGGTGATGAATGTGACCTTTGTATATTGGATATTCTACCATTATGTAAATTTTCATTTCTATTTGAATGGTGTACAACATTAGCATGTTTGCCTATGAAACCCATCTTAGGCATTAGTTTTAGAAAGATTGGTTTTTGCAGTGTGGGAGTAGGCGGCTTTCAGGCCAAATCCTTTTCTCTGTTTTACTTGGACATATTACATCTCTGTCCCCTGCATCAAAGTGAAATATACATATATACATATATATATTGTTATGGATTTTGGTCTCAAATTCTATTGTAATTAGGTTTCTATTTTAGAGTCGTATTTTATATGGTAATTTCTTGTTAGGCAAGTCTTGGGCTACAAGGAGTTGTAATCCTTGTCCAACAATAAATTGGGTTTTGGACTCTACAAATAAATACCTAGGTTGTGGGTTGAGACTTGTGAGATTGAGAGAGATGTAATCTCATGAGGGAGTTGATGGGTAGAGGTAGGTTGTGGGTTGGCGGAGTAGGGAAAACACCGGGGGTCATTGGTAGTGTGGAGATAGGGTCGTGGTGAAAAGACATGTACACGATGTTGGTACTATGTTGTTGTAATTTCTCTACGAATCATAGTGGAATCTCTTTTCATCCGTGGATGTAGGCCAGTTTTGGCCAAACCACGTTATATCTTGTGTTTGAATGTGATTGCTTTGTTGGCTTTCATTGGATGTCGATGTTTGCGCACTTCCACTGTCCCCAACATATATATATATATATATATATATGTATATATATAATTAAAGTAGCTGATACAAGAATCCTACCATGTTGTTTAGATTTGACTAATCACATTGAAATGACTCGGGTTGAAAGGATTAAAGGGCAACAACCAAAAGTCACATCATATACTTCTAGCAATTCTACTACTCTTATTACGAGCCAGTGTAAAAGTGCATGCATTTTAGGTGTCACGACCCGCCCCAACCCATGTAGATATTGTCTGCTTGCACGCTTTCCGTGCTCACGATTTTCAAATCGCGTCTACACATGGGAGATGTCCACACATATAAGTGCCTTCAAACCTCTCCCCCCAAGCGATGTGGGACTTCATAATCACCCTCTCTTGGGACCCATCATCCTCGCTGGCGTGACCTTCATGGGCTTGTGCATGCTCCCCCCATTTCCGGCTAGGGATTGGGTCTGATACCATCTGCCATGACCTATCCCAACCAGTTGGGAGATGTCCGCACAGTCTCGCCAAACCACTCCCCCAAGGCGATGTGGGACGTCACAGTAGGAGACTGATTCCTTTCTCTCTATATTTTCTCTCCTGAGCCCTTCCACTTAAGATCTGGTGTACCCTATTTCTGCCTTCAGTTTGCTAATCTTTTCTACAGTCGAGCCAATTCAAGCCTTTATGAATCTTGGACCCAGAATGTTACTACTCATGAATTGGTTTGCTGTTTTCAAATTTTGAAGTGCATGTTATAATTCCAGGACATCTGGATAGGCATTTTCCCTGAATAAGTAAACAAGCAATTAGTTTTAAAAAAAATGGTAAATACTAAAACAGAATTTTTCATCTTTTTTTTTCTTTCCTTTTCACAGTCAAGTGAAAAATGTTGCCAGGTAGCCTTTTTCCAGATATGGTACAATGAATTGAAGTTCTGTCGGTTCAAAGTTTGAGGCCCACTGGAGTAACCAAGGGGGCAGGGAGGAGGCAACTCTCTCCCCACTCTCCATCTTCCGAAGTATTTGGTTACCTGCCATATGGATTGAGCATCATCTTGTCAATTTGTCATCACATGCATATCATATAGTAACCACTTATATTTTTTGGTTATCAGCAAGACATGTTAAGAGTTGCACTTAATAAATTAGGCTTCACTAACAGTCAGTTGATAAGATGGATTTCACCATATGATCATTGTAACTTAGTAAAAAAAAATTCTAAATGGTCGTAAATTAGGAAGCACGGATACTTCTACAAGAGCGACGTACCCCTATTGTGTCCCCGTCTTGGATACCGATACTTCTTGGATATTTGCAGATATGTGTTCGATACTTCCTAAAAGTATCCATAATTTTAAATATATATATTTTTATTTCTAACACATATCTGATATTTCTGAGATACTTTGACCATGATGCTTCTTAGATACTTCACAACACATTTTTAACAAGTTTTGAATATTAAAATGTAAGTTTTCCAAAAATAACATCATAGTATAATTGTTTAGGAAAGTTCAAATTTTATTTAAAAAAATGTATTGAATTTTATATCATGATTTAGTACAAAATTTATCAATGCAAAATATGTATATAATTCTTAACTCTTATTTTTTTGGTTAAATCATAATTTTTTATAAAGAAATGTTAATAACAATATATATAACATAAATAAATATTATTTAAATTTATCCATGGATGCATATATATTGATTTTTATACATATCTAAGTTTATATATATATATATATATATATATATATATATATATTATATTGTCGTTATCTTGCATTGTATCCTATTCTTTAAGAATTTACCATATCGTCATATACTTGTCATATTGTCTGTATCCATGTTTCATAGGTGAAGGTTTATTTAGTAATGCCTGGGGATATTTGTTCTATGTGTTGTGAAACGAACTCCTATGTTATATATAATTACTTCTTTATTTAGAACATATTAAATTATTAATGATTTCATTTAGATTCATAATATTATAAAAAACTAACCAAAAATAATTTTTTTGTATATATAAAAATATAATTTATTTATTTTTATTGTCGTATCTTACCTTACCCTTATCCTATTTTTTTGAGATTCGTCATATCCGTATCCGTATCCTTGCTTCCTAGGTCGTAAACAGTTGAATTTGTAAAATTTGAATAGCTGGAATCATTTTATCAACCTTATTTTATATGGAATTGAACCTTGAAATTAAATATTGAATTTGTGGATCTTTGCCATCTTTGTGTAGGTTAAAAAGATCAGTATTCTTGTGGAATGAAGTTATTGGTTGATAAAAATCAAAGCTATTCCTGCTGATATTTGAAACTCTCACATGTATGCTGAGCAAGAAGTTTTTTTTATTACCAATGGGGACCTAGCAACTTGTGGGTCATTGCTTAAAAAAAAAATGAGAAGAAGAAGTAATGCCACTTTATGCAAAAATAATGTTGAAGATTAGTTTATCTCTGGTCTTTCCCTCCTATCATCCCCGCCTACTAGCGTGGCGGGATTAACCCTCGTAATGTGGGAGCTAGCAGACCACGTTGAGCTTGATTTATTACTTTTGGTAAGTGATTATATATTTTATGCATAATAATGAATTTAGAAGTTACCAAAAAAATTTAATGAATTAAAAAGTTCCTTTTATGAGACTCATATCTAGAAGTTCGTTCATTTTAACACCTTAACTGGGAGATGATACTTGAGTGAGAAAAAGTTAGTAATCGAATAGCATTTGTGAAAAAAGTAGTTGCTTCTCTTTTCTTTTTCCTTTTTTTTTTTTAATCCTATAATAGAATGATTTAGGGGAAAAAAAAAAATCATATAATAGGATGTGGGTTAGCGTATGCTATGATCATATAGCCACTTTATGCAAAAATAAACAAGTAATAGTAATAAGGTTCTCCAGTCTTCCCCTCTGATCATCCTGGCGTAGGCAGGACTAACACTTTTAAAAGGGATCTAGCGGGCCATTGAGCTTAATTTATGGTTTTTGTATGTGACTTGTATATGCACAATAATAAATAAAAAAATGCCTTCTATGAGTCTTGTATTCAGAAGTAAAATCGTTTTGACTTGTTAACTGAGAGATGGTACTTTACTTGAGAAGATCATGTGATCGGATTAGCATTAGTGATATTGGTAATTACTTGTTTATAACGTTCAACCCCTCTTTGCCCAAAAGGAAAAAGAAAAACAAATTCTTGGTCCTGCTGCTGGTTTGAGCTTCAGCACAATCTGCTTGATCTTTTGTGCCTATGCACAAGATCAACTTGCCATACAACCAATGTGCTTGATTATTTGGCATAAAAATGTACCTCCAGTCTTATTAAAAATGTCTGTCAGTTTGAGAAACCACACCCGCCTTAGAAGAAACTTAGAAATTTCGCAGTTGGGAACAGTTATTTTTAGTTGCTTGCCATTCTAGTTCCATCCTAGATGCTACTGCAGTTGAAGTCTCACTGAACTCGCTTGCAATGCTTATTGCAGGATGTTGAACGCGTATATTCATGTGTCAAATATTGATTTTCATTATATGTATACTATTGAACATCATATTCATAGTTGTATCAAATATTGTTGACTATGTTAGGCTGCATGGAATTGGAGATTTTTTTTTTTTTTTCTCCAATTCCAAGGCTCCAATTTCTTTCTCTCTCTCTTCCCCCCCCCCTCTCCCTCCCCTCTGGATTTATCTTCCAATTCCTTTAAAACAATGTTGCAGAAGAGCGTATAGAGCATCTTTGGTAAAAAGAAGTGCACTTCAATTTACATAATGAATCATAGTGTAAATGTGTTATTCCTATAGATGTTTCTAACGCTCAGATTCTGTTTATAGGTGAAAAAGATGGCACTATATGCTTCAAGTGTTGCTGTCAGTGAAGCAGAAAATCTGTTGTTAAAACTCGAGTAAGATTTCTGTTTACGTCAAGCTTACTTTACTCTTGCTAGAAGCCTAGAACTCATAATTTCTATTGGACAGTAAAATGTCCATATTTTTGAATGTCAATATAATTGGTAGCCGTCTCCTCAAGTGGTTCAAAGTATGTGATCGCCTGCAAGCAAAAAGCTATGCTTTCTGATGGCATTTTCTACCACACTTGGTTACAGGATTCGAATTATTATTATGAAAATAGCTCTACTAAGTAAAGAATTCTGATGGCTCTCAGGTCTTCATGTAATAAGAAGAAAACAACATAAAGCCACTTTGAGCTTTTCTATCACATTACCTTACAAATTAAATAAACATGAGAATACTTCAAGGGAAAGAAATGGTATTTGAAGTGGCAACGTTTGGCAACAGATAATAAAAACCGTTCAAAAACTCAACTTTCTATTTTAGAATAACATTTGGGAGTTTCTGTGCAACATTTTTGCTTCAGCTCATGTAGAATATTCGAAAATCGTCTATTCGCAAAGAAGTTTAGCGTTGATCCTTATCTTTATCTTCCTTGTAACAGTTCTAATTCACATTCTTGCAGTAGTTCAAACCGAGACGGACAAGACACAAATCCTCCGTTGTAACTGAAGGCTCTCATGAGCAAAAGCACAAAAGGTTAAGGAGAACAGTTGGCGCGACTACTACTTTTTCTGAAACATTATGTATATAAATGTCGGTCGGTATCAGCAATTTTTACTATGATGCTCTGTATTATATAAAATGGTTTCAGTTGTAGTGTAGTTTGCATTTCAGTAAGCATCCAACTAGTGTGTGTGTCGTGTGTGTGTGTGTGTGTGTGTTTGATCTTTTCCTTGGTGTTCTTACTCGTGCATGTTCAATGTCTAAAAGAAATGCTGTAAATAAGGAGTTCCCAAATCACATGCTTAAGAGTCTAATTCCAATCTGATTATACTGTTAATCATTAACAGCTATTTAGAAAGGTTTGTCTAGCAGATAATTCTGTTTGTGTAGAGCGTAGTTGGTAAAAGTTATTATACCCATATATATGTATAATAATAATATTTTCGTTTGTCTACAGAGTTCAAAACCTAACGACCAATACTTGTATTTTTAGTTAAATCATATGATATGTTGTGAGTGCTTTATGTATCAGCCGTCGTGAAAAATATTTTCACTTTATTGATTATTTAAAAAGATATTTCATTCCCTAAATTTTAAATTATGTGCAATTTTATAACATAACCAATATTTGTCCCCAACTATTTTCTCTCCTCGATAAGTTAACATTTATTCTCATAATATGAACTTAGTATAATCTAATACAGTATGTCTAGGATTTTTAAATTTTTTTGTGAAAATGGAAAATATGAAATTCTTGTATCTTTTTATAGTTCTTCCCGTAATCTCAATTTTTTTTTTAATTATTATTTTTTTTATGGGTAAGTCAATTTATTAAACGAAGAAATCTGTACCAGAGCGCTCAGAAGGCCGTACCAATCTTGAATTTATTTTAATCGATCAAATGAAATCATTTAACTGATTACCAGTGTGTGTGTTTCGAACAAAAGTATGTGACTGATTAGATTGAGGCATCTGATTGATCAGATGGTGTCTTGAATCTAATGTAATGTAATTGATCAACTGAACGATCACTCTTATGATCTAACCGATCAGATGAATCCTGAAGAAATAAGTGGTAAGTGGTAGCATACAAAATAAACACTCAAAATGACAAAAGATAAAATTTGAAATCTAACAACAAAATAATCACATTCTTGAACTTTTGTCCTATTATTATCACTACCATTCAAACAACAAAATTTGAAATGTAAGATATTTCAAATTGAAGGATTAAAAATCTAGTGTCAAATCCAAATTTAGGTTCTTACTCCGTAGTCATGCAAGTCAAGGTCGAGACTGTTGAGTTATCCGAGTTAATCCAGATGCATGCAAGGCAAGGCAAGGCACGCACATATTAGACAACGAGTGGGCCCCACGTCATATCCGTTTGAGCTACTTGTCCTAATGAACCGCGTGGCATCATTATTGCCTTCAATTAATTAATCGGTTAATTACTTTATTTATTTGTCAATTTATAAATTTTTTCCATGTTCCATAAAAATAAGTGATCCAAATTATTAGTATTGCTTACTCAATAATTCTTTTTTTTTTTTTTTTAAAAAAAATCTCTAAATTGATATGGTGTATTTTTGTAAGACTAGCGTACCAATATTAATGTGATTTATCTGACTCACTCAATATATATATATATATATATATATATATATATATATATATATAATTTTTATAAAATATCAACACATTCATGACATTATTTATGTAAAAAAATGGTGTGTCTATGTTAGCCATTTTTTTGTATTTTCTTTAAGAACAATTTCAAGTCGAAGAGTTGCACATAATTGCCTAACCGAGTGATTTTGATTAATTATTAATGTAAAATATAAGTAAGTAGAGATTCTCATTCTTTTATTTTTATTTTTGTATTCGGGACATTATACTAGTCTATTAGTATATCATTAAAAGCAATTTAAAACCATTAGGAATTACGACAGGATCAATTAAGTCGTGGTAAACGGTAGGTCATGGAATATGCTTAGGAATTTGACGACAAACATGTCCTCGAGGAGAGATTTACATATTTTATTATAAAAAAAACAATTAAATTAAAATTAAAAAATAATTTTATAAATTTTGGATTGGTGGATATTTTATAAAAATTTTAGAGCATCTGTTGTTTGGTTTGTGGTCACATGTTGGAAACTGAATTTGAGAAAAGAATTTGACAAACTTCTCAACATCCATAAATTATGAAACTTTTCGGTTTTGTTAGTTCATGTGTTTAGTTTCTAAAGACCAAGACGATAAAATTTTTATCAGCTTCCCAAAAGACTAAGAAGTTGGCCTAAGTTCAGCACTTAGTTCAATTTTAGCACAAGCTGCGAGAGCCTTCTTCCTTTCAAAAAAAATTGTTTTCATTGGTATTTTTTCAGCATCCTGAGTGGCTCAATCACATTGTACTCTAAGTCTAGTTTCTAAATAATTTTAGTTTGTCTCATTTTGATAAAAATTAAATTTTCTATGATTTTTTCAAGTAATCCCTGAGCAGAATTTTTTAAAAATTGAGCATTACTATTTCATTTTCCGTTTTAATATTATAAATCCGTTTTTGGTATCAACATGAGTTTGAGATCATAATTTTTTTCCATTATTTTAAACATGAGTTGAAATTGAATTTTTCTTTCCATTTTTTTTTTTTTTTTACATATTTATCAAAAATTACCAGTTGAAATCAAATTAATTTGTTACAACACAAATGAGTGTATTTTCACCCTTTGAAAGAAAAATGTGGGGTCAGATTTGGATCGAGCAAATAAATGTATGATATATATATATATTTTTAAAATAATATATTATTATTATTATTTCTTACCTTTTTTTTTTTTTTTTTAGTTGGCATCAGGAACTCCCCCATGCAGGGCTCCTTAGGGACTTACCGTGGGTTACAAACCTCGGGGTGTAGGGCAACCCCTACCATACACCGAATAAGTCGACGAAACTAAAAGGCTTAGTAGAGGACTCGAGCATTGGCCTTGTGTGTGCCCGGCACAAGCCCCCATCATTACTGTTAGCCCGCCGAGGGTTATTTTTTTTAATTCTTGTAGCACCAAATTGATTTTTCTTTTCACATTTGATTTGTTTAAGTAATATCCATTAGTAACGGTGGCACCATTAACAAACATCACTTCACTGCATTAGATTTTGCTGTAATTGTAAACAACATTCCTACAAAGGTATAAATGAAACAAAATAAGAGGTTTATTGCTGACCGTTAGATATCAATCTAACTCCTCCTATTTTTAAAATTTCGACGGTCATCCTTATTTCTCTCTCTTCGGAGGAGAGAGAGAGAAGGACAGAGAGAACGAAGAAAAGAACCACTTTTTTCAGGAAAAAAGGGTTGGTGATTCTTCACAATCGATCCATCGATCTCTCTCTCTCTTTGTTTCTCTTCGATTTTCTTTCAAATTCTCTAGGTTCTTCTTTCTTCAGTGGACTCCCCGTGAAGGAAGAAACGAGAGAAAGTGGAAGAAAATAAAGGGTTACAGAGGAAAACGCTAGAAAATTGAGGAACCCATCAGTTTAATTGGAGTTCGAATTTGGTTTTGGCGAAGTGGGTGTTTGGGATTTGTGTATAAAGAATGGATTTAGATAACATTGAGTGCATATCGTCTTCGGATGGTATGGAAGATGAAGAGATCCACACCCATCACCCTCACAATCATCATCCTCATCAGTTCTCGTCAAAACCTCACAACAATACTGGTATCCTGTCTGGAATTACTCCTGCCACAAGCGTCCACGAATTGTTAGAATGTCCTGTCTGTACCAATTCTATGTACCCACCAATCCATCAGGTATGGTTTCTATTTCTTTTTTCTTTTCTTTTTTTTTTTGTCCTTTGCTTTTCCAGACACCACACACACACGCACTAGGAAATGTTTATGTTGTATTTGATGGTTTCGGGGGTGGGGTTGAGTTGAAATTTGAGGTGGGTTTTTGCTGAAATTGCTGTTGGATTTTGTTTTTGGTTGACTTTTGGTGAAGATAAAGCTGAAATGGGACATGGGTTCAAAGATGGTTGATTTAGTTTTTTTTTTATTTTATTGAAGGGTTTTATTTTTTATTTGTTTGGTTTGATATTATAGTGGAGCTCTTTGTTAATCTTTGCGGAATGTTGATCTTATTGACTTATCAAAAGTGTCGGTCATATTGGAACTAATGCTTCAGAGTGGCTGGTACTGGAAACCTTTTTCAAAGCTGGTTGTAGAATTGAAGCCCATAATTAGATGCATCAATTAATCCAATTTAACTGAAAAAAATGAAATGTTAGGAAATTGTGTTTTGTTGCTGGAAATTCTGTTTGTAGGCCGGCTCAGTTAGATAAGATAAACCCATCACCGAACGCATGCAATATTTTCCCTATATGTACCTGGCAGCCTTACTGGTTCTTAAAAATTGATCCTCGACCATGACCACTGGACTCTTCTGATGGTCTGTAGCTAATGAAACTAAATTTTTTATTTTGAGCTTGAATAAAGTGCTTTTGGCCCCTTAATGCACCTTGAGCCTCTAATAGCTATGATTGGAGAATTTTTTTATGAAGGAACACTTGTTACTACAAACTCTCTAGGACAGTTTTTAGCTTGAGTTAGCATCGCTTTCCTTGTGTTAAATGGAGATGTGCACGCATTGCACACTTGTTCAACACATTTTGGACATTCAATCAACACATCCCATACTCTTCGTCTTATATAAAATAAACACATGACAATCCTATAAACAACATTATCAACATACATCAAAGTGTTCACATGTCACAATATGTAATGAACAAAAACATAACTATAATAACAAGATAAGAAAGTAATACCATATATGATATAAATTTTTCTTTTTTCTTTTTATATTCAAAAAGTTTCATTTTCTAACTTATGTAACTTTAGTATAGAAATTATAAATTAATTAAGCTATGTAATTGTCTTATTCAATAGATATATAAATAAAAATTAGTATTTATATTAGCCGTGTCCAAGACGTGTCCGTGTCCTACTCTTTTGGAATTGGACGTGTTGGCGTATCCGTGTCGTATTGTGTCCATATCTTGTATCTGTGTCCATGCTTCTCTAATGGGCCTCATAGTTGGGAAAAGATCTTGTTGTGTACAAAGTCTGGATATTGATACCAAAAGCTCAAGTAAAAAGACGAGCACCAATGGAGTTTATAATTTTAATAAGCAATTGTAGAGGCTACCTTGTTTGGTAGAAAGTCAGCCTTTGAGTTAGCTGATCTTGTATCCCAAAAACTGCGACTCATTGTCCAGTGTGGTTCCCATTAGTTGAGGGTGCTTGGAGGGACATATTGGATACAAACCTAACCTTTGAGATCTTTTGCAAAGAGTGACTGCTCTCAGGATTCGAACCTGATTCTCACTCTTGACAACCCAAGCGTTTTACCACTGCTCCAGGCAATGGCTAATCCCTAATCAAGTATATATTTCTGAGCATAAGGTATTTACATCACCAACTCTTGAGAAGATCTAGCTTTATACTTTGAATCTCATTAAAGGAGTCACTCTTCACAATGAAGGAATTATCTTCTTTAACTGCCTCTTTCACACTCTGCGTGAAAAGGTGCTTACTGAGGCAAGAAAATTCATATCGTGCGATTTAGGGGAACAGAATACTATTTGCTTGTGGAGAAAGCAAAGAGAAGTGAACAATATTTGCTTTTGGAGGAAGCAAAGAAGGAATATGAAGTTATTCCTTAGAGCTTAAAATTTAGAATTCTAGAAAGAAACCATTTTACTTTTTTAATCGTGGGATCAAGATTGCAGATTAATAAGGAATTTGAATATTGGGGCATTTCTGGTTGTGGAAATATGTGTAGTGTGGTAGTGAATCTTGAACTTGTCTTAGTTGCTTGCTTGTTTGCTCCACTTCTTTTATCTTCTTTTTTTATTTATTATTATTATTATTTTTTTTGATTGATTTTCACTTGCTCCATTTCTCACTCGATTAAAGGAAGTTCTTGAAGATCTTTGTTGTCATACAGTCATATTCCTTCCCTTTTTCATAGTACATTTTTTTTTACATGTCTTTGCTGATTGGAGTGTCATAGCTAAATGATTTTTCTAGTTCCTACATCATAGCTTCAGAGTTTGCTCCTTTTGGCATTCATTTGACAATTTTCCTCTTACTTTAAAGATGGAATATACTTTTCATTTTGACAATTCCTATATTTACTTTAAAGTTGGAATATACTTTTTTACTCTATTTACTTATTTATTTGTTTCGTTTGGGAGGTTTGGGATTGCAAGGGAGAGGAGTTGATGGAACTTAGAATTTACTTAGTGAGCATTAAACAAAATAGGAGGCTAAAGGATTTGCTAATTTCTTCCATATGTGTTATATCTGCTTTGAACTATATGGAGGAAACTTTTGAACACACAACTGCATTTTAATGCCATCTTTGCTAGAGTTGATAATGTTTTTTTCTGGGTTGTAAAAACCTTTAAAGTGCTCTTCAACACATTATATTTTGCACTTCCTTGAAGGACTTGGGATCAAGTGATAGTTGATGAGACTGTTCTAGATCCACTGGTTCTGGGGAGATTTATATAAGTGGATTTTTCAGCTTCCATCTATTTAGGAAAGTATGTTGAAGATTAAAGGGGGAAGGTGTTGATATTATCTTTCCTCACTGAATATCTTGGATCGGAATGGCATTTACCAGTTTGAGTTCATTGATGGTAAGGTTTTTAGCTTGGGAGATGATATATGCGAGATGGGAGATCTGATGGATCAGATTTGGATTAGAGCAGAGTAGTCCAGTGAAAGAGAGGAAGCGAACTGTTGGTCAGATGAAGGATGTAAATTCCAGTTTCGAGGCCCTAGACAGTCCAAGTTTGATTGGCATGTAAGAATGGCTGCTTCTGGGTCTCCCAGTAATGTTAAGGACATCTCGGCTGAGGAGGTCAGAACTAATCACAATGTGGCTGGGGTTGCCAGCCTATGAGGCCTGCATCATTACACCTGCAGGATTAAACCAAAAAGGTTGGCAACAGAAAATTCATTATTAGGTTTGAACAAGGTGTTACTAGTGCCTTGTGTCATAAACATGAAGTCTTCTCTTCCTTCATTCTGGTCCAGCTCCAGCTATAGCTACTCTAGAACATTTAGAGTAGACACCACCTTGATTAGCCCCTAAATTTAGGTGGCGAGTCCAACACATTTGGAAATCACTAGGTAGCATCATGACAGGGTTTGTGATGTCAAGCACTGGAAGGGGTAGGCATCCAGCATCAGGGCACTTAACTCCCCCCTTGTCTCTTAACTTCCCGTCTCGGTGGGTTTGTCTGGTCCACATAAGTAATTGGACGAATGGAGTTGCTACCCTCTGGAAAATTTGAAATAGGGAGGACTGGGAACCTTAAACTCATGTTGCCGTGTGGTGGCTATACACTGTGGCCACTTGGTTTCCCAACTTTGGATTTACATATGTCAACCAAGTCGATGCCCTCTTCTCTTCTCTTCTCTTCTCTCTCTCTCTTTTCTTTTCTTTTTTCCTTAATTTTTTCCTCTTTTTGGGGGTGCAGTTTTAAAGACCTAATAGATTATTGTTAATGAAAGATTAATGTCTGATAATACTAGTGATCATTGTTCAAACTGACAAAATGTTGTTTTTTGGTACTGTTCTCGATAAAGAAAAGTTATGTGCCAAGGTTTGTGGCATCTTTCTACTTGTTTGTCCAAACATATTCGATTTAGGGTGAGGAGCGGAAGGGGGATCGGATCCTGGAAGGATGTGTGGTGTGGGGATCATCTGCTAGCATCCACCTACCTGCGTCTGTATTGGATAGCTGTGGAAAGTAGGTGTTGGTGGCCGAATGATATTGCCTTGACAGTGGAAGGTTGGTTTGGGACAGTCGGTTCGTGAGATCCTTCCAGGATTGGGAGTTGGGTGACATCAGTAAGCTGCTGGCATTGTTGTATCCTCAGGAGGGGGGAGGAGTTGGGTTTGATGCTTGGTGCTGGATGGAGTCTAGCCACTGGGTTTTTGAGGTGCAGTCTTTCTGTAGGAGCATGATGGTTGTCTGAGGGTCCTCTGTGGCGCACCCAGGCTCCACTCAAGGAGGCCTTTTTTGGTTGGACAGTGGCTTTAGGGAGGATTTTGGCTATTGATAATCTGAGGAGGAGGCGTACGATTATCGTCAACTGGAGTTGTGTGTGCAAGAGAGATGAAGAGTCTGACAATCATCTTTTCTTTTATTGCCCGGTAGCTTGAGACAGTTGGGCCATGGTTTTTACTCTTTTTGGCGTTCATTGGCTTATGCTGGAGTCCCTCCACAGCATGCTTGAGGCTTGGAGAGGGTGTGCAGTAGTAAGGAGGCAAGTTCGAGATGCTTGGAGGGTAGCGCTCCCTTTGATAATGTGGGGGTTGTGGCGTGAGCTGAACCGGTCTATTTGATGGAGTTGAGGTTCTGACATAGGTGCTTAAGTTCTCTATTCTTTTTACTTTATTTATTTATTTATTTATTTTTTTGGGTACAGGGATGGAATTGTAAATAAGTGGAGGATATAGGATCTTGTGTGGATACTTTGATTGTATAGAAGACCCACTTGGTCTTGCTTTTGTTTTTGGGCTGCACTCCCCTTTGAGCGTCTTTTAATGAAACCTTACTTTATCAAAAAAAAAAAAAAATCTTTCTACTTGTTTTTCCTTTGTTTTTATGTTTACATCTTGCACTTTTCTTGAGCTTCGTTTGTTGGATGTTACGATGGGTTGTTTTGCTGCAATTATTATCATTATTTCGAACCTTGACAATCTTCTGCCATGGAAAGAACATTGTCATTCAAATAAAAATTTTACAGAGATATCCTTGCAAAAAGTTTTCTCATTGGCTTACCAAAGTCCATGATCTCACTAAAAGGGTAACATATTATCTGAGAATCTATGCAATATGAGATATCATCTTAGTTGCTCAAGATATTTATGTGACTTAATCTTGGACCTTGTTGCTTTACAATGCCTTGAGGCATCTTCTCATTGTTTCTTTTTCTTTGTTCCCACTATTTTTTTTTATTATTATTATTATTTTTTTTTGATTATTGTTGATCTTCTGGCAAAAAATTAGGAGTCCCCTCTGGGATGTTGATATTCTATATTTGAGACCGCTGACTTTACTGGCCAAGTATTGACCAAAATTGGATGCGAATGAGGCATTATTTTTTCTTCCTCGGTTTACCTTTTTAAAGTTCATATCAGTGCTTGTACGTCATAAAACAAAATGCTTATTTGTAACAAATTTGCTTATTGGCAGTGTCACAATGGACACACACTTTGTTCCACCTGTAAAACAAGGGTACACAACCGATGTCCCACTTGTAGGCAGGAGCTTGGAGATATTAGGTGCCTAGCACTGGAAAAGGTGGCGGAGTCACTTGAACTACCCTGCAAGTTTTATTCATTGGGGTGCCCGGAGATATTTCCATATTACAGCAAACTCAAGCATGAGGCAGTGTGCAACTTCAGACCGTATAATTGCCCATATGCCGGATCAGAGTGCTCGGTTACTGGGGATATTCCATTTCTGGTTGCCCATCTCAGAGATGACCACAAAGTGGACATGCATGCAGGCTGTACATTTAACCATCGCTATGTAAAGTCGAATCCCCGTGAAGTAGAAAATGCCACATGGATGTTAACAGTAAGTCTATTATTGCCTTGAAGTTTCACATTTGTACTTATTAAAAAATAAATAAATGTTTTACTTTCAAATTTCCATGAAGAGAACAGTTTTCGAAATTACTATATCTGCCTTTAAGTATGAGGACATATATCCGATTGTGCATCACTGAGCCAGATCTTTTGTTGGCTATACCTTTGAACCTGCCCTCCCATCATATAAATGGATCACTAATACAGTTGTTCCATATAGTCAGTGGACAATTTTGTGTGTGGACCATTCTTATATAGGAGCATTTCAAAACCACATGGAAATGAAATTGTTTTATATTGTTTCACGTGGTGTTGGAAAAGAATTTTCTTGGTTATAGCTGGCTATTGAAATGGTATGTACTTCATTGCTTGCATGAGATTGCTTTTTCTATAATATTGGTAAATCCGTTTACTGACATTTTGATATCATCTTCGTTGAGTCCGTGTCCTCTCTGAATGATTATTTCATCTTACGTTCACTCTAATGTTGTGGGATTCTTAATCGAAGAATGCCTTAGTTGTGTGGTTTCCATATTACCTTATGACGTTAGGACGATGTATATGGTAATCTGATGATATTCCTGGTAACGTTAAGTAGCCTATTTATGCACCTAAATGAACCATTGGCCCTCCATGTGCAGAACATAACTTCTCTTTGAATTTGTAACAGCACAAGAGATGAATAACTGAGCAAATTTTGCTCACATACCATGTTGATTTTGCTGGTGATTTGTGCATAGACATCTTCATGTACTCTGAATTCCAAGTCTTGCTGACATTCCTACTTGTCTTGTCAGGTTTTCCATTGTTTTGGTCAATATTTCTGCCTTCACTTTGAAGCTTTCCAACTTGGCATGGCTCCTGTGTACATGGCATTCCTCCGTTTCATGGGTGATGAGACAGAGGCTCGTAACTATAGCTACAGCCTGGAGGTTGGGGCAAATGGCAGAAAGCTAACATGGGAGGGCACGCCTAGAAGCATTAGGGATAGCCATAGGAAGGTTAGGGACAGCCATGATGGTCTCATCATCCAACGAAACATGGCACTTTTCTTCTCTGGTGGAGACCGGAAAGAGCTGAAACTGAGAGTTACAGGGAGAATATGGAAGGAACAACAAAACCCAGATGCTGGGGTGTGCATTCCGAACCTCTGTAGCTGAACCAGGTGATTTTGAAAATGTTTTTATGATTTGCTTGTTTTGACTCTCTATGTATGTGTCATGTTGTATCTGCGTCAACTTTGTTGTTTGATTTGGAATGCTTGAAATGTAAACTGCTGCTGGAGCTTTTGTTTTTTTTTTTTTTTAGCCGTTATAAATCGTTTAACAAGCAGCTTTCCCTCCTCCCTCTCTTTACCTTCTGTATATCCTGATGCTGGAAACTGGAAAGCAATATGTTTATATACTTATGTAGGCCTTTTTGAATTGCTCAGACTTTTTATTTTCGGCTATTCGTTGGTGGATGTTGGTGATTCTTATATTTGATGAACAAATTTTAACAACTAATAAAATGGTCAGGAGAACAATAGCCATTGACAGGGAGAACATTACAGGGGTAAAAGTGTGTGAAACTTCAAACTAGATTGATTTCTTTTTCTTGTAATAATGGCAGTTAATTTTAGGGTTCCCTCGGAAAAATATGATATGATTTTGAGCTTTAACAGAAAAAAGAATTCCAAATAGTACCAAAAAAAAAAATTTAGATGGTTTGACTCTTGTAAATGATTGACATTTTTTTCCTGGTAAATTAGGGAAGGGGGACTTGAACACGGCACACTCGTTCAGGGAGTTGGGCGCTCTACCAACTAGGGGTATTGCCCGAATTTTGTAAACGATTGACTGCGAAGCCCAGAATTTGAGAATAGAATAAGGCCCCAATATCTGGTTGATAAAACTGAAACTCAAGTAGGTTCTCTGAGATGTCCCTCCTTTTCTGTTCAAATTGCATGTTATATGGATTGGGCTCCTCTGTTTTGCTGCTGTCATCATTTATGCCCACTTCTTCAATTTATTTATTTATTATATCTACACACACACACACACACACAAACACAAAATCACTGGTCATTCTGATAGTTACATATATAAATATATATACAAAAATGGCAACGAGACAAAATATTTTTATTTATTTATTTTAGAGAGAGAGAGAGAGAGAGAGGAGGGCGTGAGAAAATGATAATACTCTGTCCAAAGTAGGTGGGATGCATTGGGATTCTAACTTTTTATGGATGTGTACTAAATAATGAGTGAAGTTTCATTTTTAACCTTATAAAGTGCTAAACAAGTAAATAGAAAGGGGTAGTTTGGTAATGTGATGGAAAATAGTACATCTATTTTTTGAAAAGGGACATGTATTTTGAAAATTTTCATAAAAAAAAAAGAAAAAGTAAATAACTATTTTGAGACATAAAGAGTAAATGATTGTTCAAACTTTAATTTCAAGGGAAGGTGGCTGTTAATCACTAAAACAGGTCATGTCCTGGTAATAGGCAAACCACCATGTCCAAGTTGTTCTACTCTCTCTCTCTCTCTATATATATATATATGTATGTATGTATGCACACATTTATATATTATAAACTATATATGATACTAATTGTTGGTCACCAAAGTTGTTTGAAATGCCTAACTTTCATTCACCCGATTATTATATTATTATTATCAGTCTCTACTTCCCTTTCAGGGAAAGTTTATTCTCTCCTCTAGTTGGAAGGTAAGTTTATAATAATTAATTTAAAAATGAAACTAAGAAATACCACAAGAAAGGGACACCAATAAATAATATATGGTTGACTAAGTGAATGGTTCACATGCACAAATGCAGGAGCAATAGTATCAAAGCTACACAACATACTATAATTTTAAGAGGTGTGTTATAAAGAACAAAAATTATAAATTGATTGGATCTTTTTAAATTTAAATTTGGTTGTCAAAGTGGCATCATAAATAAGATTTATTTGACATTTAAAATATACAAAAAATTCATTATAAACTAATTCAGCAAGTGATGCAATAATTAGTGCAGTATACCTTTTCAACCAATTGTAGTAACCGTCGAGGAGAATTCCAGTTTTCGTACAAAATGTTGGTGAATTCAAATTTTCTCGTGTGAACAAAACCAGAGCGTATGAGTTTTCTGCTGGGGATAAAAAGTGGGTTGTGAAGCAAATTTTTTTTTTTTTTTTTTTTTTGGGTAATTGAAGCATTTTTATTTTCTCATATAAAACACCTTACAAAATAAAAAATTAAACCAATTTAAAAGAAAAGCTTGTGATGGATCTGGATGAGAGAGGTCATGTGAAACTCATGCGAAATATCTGTTGATCTTTTTTTTCTTTTTTCTTTTTTATAATTTTAAAAAATAAGTAAATTATTTGGGTGGGGTCACCAAATCATACTTCAAGATTTGTCATTTTTAATCTTTAACCACCTTTTTTTTTTCATATCATTTTTCTTTAACCTCCTTTTTTTTTTTTTTTTTTTTTTTCTCTTTTGTGAATGATGATCATGCACAATCAATCAACATCGATTATACAAGTTCCGTTGAAAAGTCAAAGGTCCTAATCCTAATTCTTATAGATCATGCACAATCAATCAACATCGATTTTGTTTGAAAAGTCAACATCGATTAAACAAGTTCCATTAACAATACTAGTATGTCATTTAGCTTTCAAACTTGTAAAATTTAGGTCATCCATCAATGCTTATAATAACATATAAACAATTAAGTTGGACTTAACCTATTTGATATATATAGGTTATGGTGCTAAAATCAGATTCTAACCCATTTGAAATACAATGAACTTCAACTTCATCAGTTCTAAATTAAATTTAAACTTTCTCCTTTTTTTTTTCTTTTTTTTTTTTAAAGAAAAAATAATCATAATAATTATTAATAATATTGTTATGTATTAAAATGTACTACATAATGTAGTAATGCTAAAACAAATAATTAATGAAGATATCAGGTCATAAATGTTTTTATACTTGGCAAGTGGAGCCCATCATTTTATATATATATATATATATATTTTCCGGTCAAAGATATAAATTCATTCAATCAAACATGACATCCAAATGGAGATTCTCAGTATATTTATCAATATATATATATATGAATGATATAAATGGGAAAGAAAACGTGAACTTATCTAATAGCTTCATTCCGTTCATATATGGCCCATCATTTTATTTATTTATATATTTTTTGATCAAAGATATAAATTAATTCGATCAAAAAATCAAATTACTAAAACCTCCAACATAACATCGGAATGAAGATTCTCAATATATTTATCATAAAGAAATTATGAATGATATAAACGGTGAAAGAAAATCGGAATGGATCTCAATAGTTTTATTTCGGTCACGTGTAGCCCACCATTTTATTTAGTTATATATTTTTCGGACAAAGATATAAATTCATTCGATCAAAAAATCAAATTACGAGAACCTCCAACATAACATTATAATGAACATTATGAATATATTTATCAAAAAAATAAAAATAAAAAAGATGATAGACTGATATAAACTACAAAAACGTGAACTTGTCTAATAGCTTCACGCTCTTCGTGTGTGGCCCATCATTTTATTTACTTATATATTTTTCGGGCAAAGATATAAATTCATTCAATCAAAGAATCAAATTATTAGAACCTCCAACATCACATCGAAATAGAGATTCTGAATATATTTATTAAAAAAAGTGAACTGATCTAATAACTTTGCGCCCATCGAGTGTCGCCCACCATTTTAATTAAAAAACCGAAACCTTAATCAAACCATTGAACACTAATGAACCTATTGACAACTTGATTGAAAATTGGCGTCCCTTATTTTAGTCAGCATTTTCATGTTTAGAGTCTAATGAAAGAAATCTGTATTTAGGAAAAATGTGCAATGTCGTCATTCACAGAAAGTTTGCCACTTTCATATTCATTCAATTTGGTTTCTTGGACATGTTCACAAGAAGAAATGCAATTGATTTGTGGAAATGTATTTGTCTTGTAGTATTTTTAAATTCAGAACACATAATTCGTAATAGGACACTTTGATGTGTCTGTTTCAGTTCAATTTCAGCATCTTTGAACTTCGTATCATCATTTTCATGTGTAGGATGACAAAATATCTTACCTCGTCGGCTACGTGAGTCACGGTTCTCCAAATATGATATTTTTTGTGAGACGGAAGGAGTATTAGACTGTCACGTATTTTAATATAATCTAAACATGAAAGTATGCTTGAAATTCCATTATTTTATTATGGGACCCATTTTTATTTTTTACTTTTATTTTTGCATTTTCAGGCTTACACTTGATAATATTTATTCGAAGAAAATGTGTGAGGATTAGAATATTCATTTAAACTAAAAAGGGCATAGTAATGAAAGAAAATTAATCTGAAAATATGGTTTATTTCTTGCTTCATTTTCTCAAGTAAATAAAATTTCATTTTTGTCACAAGTTGAATGTCATTTTCACCAACTTAAAAAGATGCAATGTGAACTCAAGGCCATCAAAAGAGGCTCCATTTGATACATGAATGGTCACACCAGTATTCAACAGTGTCTCCATTCATGAAATTATGTAGAATTCTCTAATTTGCCCCCACATTATCTGCTATGTATTTCTGTCACAGGCCCACCCTGTTTGAGGTGTATGTTTCATAGTAGACCCATTTCCCATCTATATATATATTTCTCAATTATATCTCCAATGGATAAACACTCTGTGACATACACACTGTTCATTTTGGTACGTGCTATTTAAGAGAGAATTAAAATAAAATTTCATGTGTGTTAACAACCTTTTACGATAGAAGTTGATGGGGGAGGTTATTATGTCAATTAAGTCATCGTGTTTGATAGGATATGTTTGAATCGCGTGGTCCAGTACTATCTAATAATTTAATCTTTTAAAAAGAGCCCACACTAACTTGAATTTTCAGACATGTCATTCCGTTTTCAAGTTTCTTTTTACTTTTATTTGTTTTTTAGTTGTTGGCTTCATATCTTTAGTTTTCACTTCATATACAATGTCTAATATTTACTTGTTTTGCCTATTGTTCATTCTATTTTGAACACTTGTAAGCTCTATTCATCATTATGGATCTGACAATAATTAAAATAATACTCTTTCTATCCCAAAATTTTTACGTTAATGTATCACTTAAATCTAGTTTCATCTACTTTTTTGCTCTTCACTCTCTTTAGGGTTAGTTTAGCATAAGAAAGTCCTTGCAATAACTATTAGTTATTGTAAATTTAACAGTATTATAATGTTACGTCACAATGTAATATGCTCTAGGGTAAAGTACAAAGACAGCCTTAAAGTTTGTCATAATTAAGGACAGACATATATAAGTTGACTATTTTTCAGACAATGACACCCCCTGTTAGAATTATCTTTCAAATAAGGCTTTAAATGATTCAAAAAGACAAAATTGC